CCATGCCCACCCCAATTGGCCGCACCCATCCAATTGGCCACACCCACCCGGCACCCGATGATACATAAGTGGGTTTTGGATTGCAGTTTGGGCACTTGGTCTCTAAAAGGTTCGCCATCACTGCCCTAGAGCTAAATATGACCATTTTGTGTGCATTGTTTGAGATCACTTGAGACAAGCCTATGGTTGCCATCAATTCCTGCATTCCCCTCAAACTACCTTCACTCCATTTCATGGTAGAATCACTCCAACAGCTGTGATTCTCTGCCAATACTCAAGTAATGAGATCTAGGAGTTCAAAAATGGACGCCAACTGTTATTTATTTCCTGGGTTTTGATATTTTATTTTGAGAATTAATTTTGAATTCTTGGATTGGACTACTAATATTCCAAAGAGTCTTTTTTGGCTGCAACCCCTGAATCTAAGTACTTAAAGGTCTGAGTAGAAAAAAATTATAGCAGGTTTTCTACATTTTTAGGGAGTACAATGTTTGCTTTCGATTACTCACTACTGTGTTTCCCCAAAAATAAGAGCTGGTCTTTTTTTTTTTTTGCTTCCAAAAGAGGCACCAGGTCTTATTTTGGGGGGATATCTTTTCCACGGTCTCACCTCATGGCAGCACTGACAGCCCTGCCCAGCTGACCCACTTCTGCTAATTCTTCTGAATTAGGTGTTCAGCAGAGTGATGTCACAAGGGAAAGAACTGTTCCTGTGTCTAGTAGTTTTGGCCTACAGGCAATTCCTCACTTGGAAAGTCTCTGATTCCTTCCTTTCCTCTAGGTCAGGGCTTTTCAACCCGTAGTACACGTACCATTGGTGGTACTTCAGCACCTGGCAGATGGTATGTGTACGACGGGTAGAAAACCACTGTAAAAAAAGTGTAAAAAAAAGTGTAAAAGTGGATGAGGTGAAGCGGCGGCAGCACTGCACAGGCCTGTGGGAGAGTCAGTTGGAGCTGCATGAGGTATCTCCGGGACTCTGCTGAGAACCCAAGATTGGTGTGTGCTCCAGCTGATTGACGGTGCCCTTGGGGGTGGCAGGCAGCCGCACGCAGTCTTAGGGCGGAGTTTCAGCTGGAGCTGTGTGAGGTTTGCCTGGGTTCTGCTGAGAGCCCAGAATCAGCACATGCAGCTATAGCTGATCGGCAGTGGGTCTAGGATCTTTTGCCTCTTACCCTTGGCCGCGCCTCCTTCTCCTTGAGCCTCCCTCCTCTACCCATTTGCCTCCAGCGTTCCTCCTCGGAGCAGCATGCAATTGCCGATAGGTGATTGAGGGGCTTTGGGGGGGGGGTTGGCTTCTGCTGTTGAAGTGGGGGCACGGGAGGCGTTTCGGGGTGCTAGTTGGCTATCTATCCCCCGAAGATTCCCTAACTTTAAAACAGCTCTTGGGTGGCAACAGTTACCCAGCATGAGGGGCTCAGGAGAAAGAAATGCTGGCAATGCTAACTCCCAAGAATGAGGAGCTCAGAGGCAGCTACAAGCAGGGGAAGTGGTGTGTGGGGGGGAAACAAAGGAAATCAAACCTGATTGACAGGAAGCATAGTAACCCTGTCCCTACTCCGGAGAGGGCAGGTCTCCATCATCCCCAGTCCGACAGGGGTCTTCCTGCCGCACTGTTGCAGAAAAAGAGGGGCTCCAGTGAGGAGGAGGAGGAAGAGGGTTTAAGCAAGCTTAGCAACCAGAGTGGGGATCCCCTCCAAAACAAACGTGCTTCGTGGGTAACCTCCCAGCACGACAGAAATGACCAAAACTTGCTGCATCCACCCAGCAGATGGGGGGGGGGAAATAAAAACCAAACAGCCCCCGCCCGCTGCCAATCCTCAACAGAAATGCTCATGAAAACCTTGGACAGGAAGAAGAGCACGGCTGGGCGGGCAGGCAGGTGTCTTGCTCGGTTGTGGCTTGGTGGGGGAAACTTCCCCCCCCAAAAACGCTGCCCTCTCACGAAAGCAGGATGAAAACTCTGAAAAATGACAAGGAAAAAAGTTACAACAGAAGAGTGTCTCGTGATGGTTTTCTTCCCCACTTCCTTCTAGCAGTTTAAATATGTAAATACCACAAAAGAAAAAACTTGGCTTTCTCTCATTTTAATTCAGAATGGAGGAACGAGAGGATTCGGGGGGGGGGTTGTTAGTTTCAAAGAAAGGCAAAGAGGGACTTTGGGTCTGTGGCGGGCGCAGCAGGTGAATAACGATAGTGCGCGGCTTCTGGCATTGGGGGAGCAGTCTTTTTAAAAGAGCAAAACGAGGCAAAAAATAAAAGGCCCCCCTCCACCCCCAAGAGCTGGATGTGGATGTGATTTTTTTTTCCTTGTTCAGAAGAGACACTCTTCTGTTTTAACCTTTTTCCTTTGTCATTTTTCGGAGTCTTCATCCTGATTTCGTGAGAGGGCAGTATTTGGGGTGGGGTGAAGCCGCCCCCTTTCCCCTCTCCAAGCCACCAGCCGAGCAAGATGCCCGCCTGTCTGCGCTCTTCCCCCTGTCCAAGGTTTTTGTTGTCATGAGCATTTCTGTTGAGAATTGGCAGCAGGGGAGGCTGTTTGGTTTTTATTCCCCCCCCCCATCTGCTGGGTGGTTGCAGCAGGTTTGGCCGCTTCTATCATGCTGGGTGGTTATTCATGAAGCACATTTGTTTTTTGGGGATCCCCACTCTGGTTGCTAAGCTTGCTTAAATCCTTTTCTTCCTCCCTCTCACCGGAGCCCCTTTGTCTGCAATGGTAAGGCAAGAAGACTTCTGCCAGGCTGGGGATGATAGGGATCTTCCCTCTGTGGAGTAGGGGCAGGGTTACTATGCTCCCTGTCAATCAGGTTTGATTTCCTTTCTTTGCCCACCCCCCTCCTTGCTTCCCCTGCTTGTAGCTACCTCTGAGCTCCTCATTCTTGGGAGTTGGCATTACCAGCATCTCTTTCTCCTGAGCCCCTCTTGCTGGGTAACTGTTGCCACCCAAGAGCTGTTTTAAAGTTAGGGAATCTTCGGGGGATAGCCAACTAGCACCCCAACACGCCCCCTATGCCCCAATTCAATGGCAGAAGCCACACACACACACACACACACACACCCCAAAGCGCCTGCAATCACCTATCAGCTTCTTTGAGTCAACCAGAAGGAGAGAAGAGGATAGAACAATGCAAAGATTCATGTCATAGAAACAGGCACAAGTTTTCCATTAAAAGTGTGGTAAGTCGTTGTATAGATAGTCCTCAACCTACAACCACAATTGAGCCCAAAATTTATGTTGCTAAGTGAGAAATTTGTTAAATGAGTTTTGTCCCATTTTATGACTTTTCTTGCCACGTTTGGCTTTTGACACCTTGCTAGGCAATTGGTGGTACTCAAATATTGTCATATCCTAAAAAGTGGTACAGTTGGTGAAAAGATTGAAAAGCCCTGCTCTAAGTAAGGAACTAGCTCTATTCTGTGCCTGGAAAATGAACAAGTCCTGACCAGGCAGCATAGAAGGTGGGGGTCTGTTTATATAGGCCTATTAAGAGTAATTCCAATAGGCACTTCCTCTGCAGACTTCTCTTTGCTATCCTCCTGTATCCCTCAACCTCCTTCTCCAACCCCCACACAGCCCTTTAGTTAGAGCAGCCTTTTTGCTTAGCAAGCACTGCAGGCAATTACAGTCAGGAGCTGTGGCTTACTCATAAGGAGTAAGGAGTCTTTTCACCACCCTCGCTATCCCTCTGTTGCCAATTTCAGTGCAATCCAAGAACTTCAGTGTGTTTGCACAGCCTCCCAATTTGGTCCCAAGGCCAGATCCAATCCATCCTTTGTGTAAGTCTGTAGCTTCTCCACTATGCCATTTCTTTATTACTGTCAATCCGTTTACATACAAGTCTTCCATTCTGAATCATCTTTACTCTCTTCACTTTTGTTTTCTCTTAATTGTCTAATATTCTGTATCCTATCAAATAACACTATGCTCAAACATCACTCAGTTAACAACACAAACTGATGTGGGTTAAAGTAGGTATCGAAAAGTATGCCATCTTAACATTCTTTTTTACCTCCCCCTTTTCTGTGTGTGTGTGTGTGTGTGTGTGTGTGTGTGTGTGTGTGCATCCTTGCATGTGCATAAATAAATACCTTTACAAAAGGGCCTTGAGGAACAAAAGAAGACATGGAGGCAAATGATTAAGCAGTGCCCTCTACTGGGCAACTGGGAAGGCTTTGCAAATATAGCTACCCACCCCTTAGCACTCTTCTGATCAAAGATGTTGCAGTAGACAACATTTGCTGTGTCTTTATTGCCTGCAGCCCCCTCTTTTTTTTTTTTGCATTATAGTAGACAATGTTGTCAGACTAACTTTTGTTTTGTTTGCGGGTTCTTTTTACCTCTAGAAATCTGTCATCTGCAAAGGTTCTCTTGAGACATACTGTATCAGACGTTGCAGTCTTTTGGCATTCATAAAGGACACAGTCCTATAGCACACCTACAAATTTACCTCCACTGCCACGTGTTTGGCAGTTGTTGGAACAGAAGGGGTCAGATGGAAAGGATGCTGGACTCCAGCCCAATAGGGAGCCTTTAGTCTAAACTGCGATATATAGCTGGTAACGTTCAGGACTTGTGAGGTAGCATAACAACATGCAGTACCTATTGAGGAATGTCATAGAGCGCTGTGTGTGCACACTAACCCATGGCAGTATGACATCCACACAAACATAGTAATTTGTGGGCTAAAATCATCCCTTGAAATCTCTTCATTGGATTTCAGTTGACTGAGATTGAGATTTTTCTTTAAAAAAAAAAAAAGAATAGAGTATTAGAGTCTCTTCATGACAAAATAAAGGAAACTTTGACTCCAGTCAGTGCGAATATTGATGCAGTTCTTTTTTAAAGAGGAAGTTGGTGGCTTCACAATTAAAATTGTGCCCGAGACTGATTGAAACAGTAAATGGAGTGCCAAAGCCTGCCTGGTGATATAGAAGAATGGCTGCTTACATTCATAGAGAGCTCATATCCGGCTAAAGTCCTGCTGTCTGTCTTCTCACAGGCTCATTTTCAAAGGGCATTGCTGAAGGAGAAGTGGACCCTTCCTTTGGCCCTCTGGAAGCAATACGACTCACCATCCAGACTGACTCTCCTGTGTGGATAATCTTGAGTGAGGTAATTGGTCATCCTGGTCAAGCTATTAAATGGGGAGGGGGTACAAACACTGACTGTTTTCTTCCACAGGATCCTTTCAATTGCAGGCTTATCTGACTGCACAATAAGGAGTTATTATTTAATCATTCCAGCCAAAGCTTCTAAAATTGCATCTCTTAACACACAATGTTTCCAATCAAAGCTAGTAAATGCCACTTCACAGGCTTGGGACAAATAGAAGTTGGACAACTGAAAAAGGTGTCTCATGGAGGCCTCAGCTGCTGTAGGTACCTGGCACAGTTGTCTCCAGGATATATAGGTAGTCCTTGCTTACCAACCACTCATTTAGTGACTGTTCAAACTTACGGCAGCTCTGGAAAAGGAGACTTAGAACCAATCCTCAAAATTCTGGCTATCCCACACCACCACCCCGGTCAAGCTAATGTGGTTGGATGTTTGGCAACCAGCTGACACTTACAATGGTTACAGTGTCATGTGATTGCCATTTGCGACTTTCTCCCCTGGGTAGTTAATGGGGAACATGGCAGGGAAAGTAACAAGTCACTCTTCTTCACAGCCCCCCTCACCCAGCAGAAGCAACTCTCAGCCCTTTCTGCTCTTCCACCACTGTCTGACTGCTGGCCTTCTTGTAAGATGCCTGGGACTTACTTAACAACCTACAGTCCTTACTTATGAACAGCAGTGGGAAGTGTTGGGATTGTCATAGCTAAACGATGCAGTCACATAACATTGCATTTTACAGTCATGTCTGAATTGGGAAATTCTGGTCCCAATTATCGTCAGTAACTGAGAACTAGCTCTCAAAGCTGGCACAGCTGCCATCCTCTTGCAGCAAAAAGAATCCAGTCGCTACTTTGGGACATTCTTTTGCTTTCCAAGAAAAGCTCTTCAGATTGTTGCTCAGGCAAGATTAGAAGGGGCATCCTAAGATCCATTCCATCCAATGATGGCCACTAAAGCCATTGAGTCATTATGACTGTAGTCTACAAGAACATTCCTTATCTCCATTTCTTGACTTTGAAGATTCTTATTAAACTGCCAATCAGGAACTGGGCAGGAAAGAATGTTGTCTTCAAGGACAAAAACCTGGTTGCTCACTCCATGTGGCATTTACATCCAGAAGTTTGTGGTCAGGGGAAGTGCACCATTTCTTAGGTGCAGCCTCATCAGCTGCCATGCCATCAAAAGCTACTTGGCCTTCAGCATCAGCTTCCCCTCAAAGCTGTTGGCTTCCCAGTGTTCCTGGCAATGTTCCAATTCCATTATACCCAGATAGCTGACTGGAGTGATGGGAACTGGCATCTGGAATGCATGCAAAAACACTACACAGCTGGAGAAGATTTAATTCTTTCAACAGCTATTGGGAATCTAATAATATTGGTAATAAGATTATAACATTTGGGGATTACCAAGTTGCTCTTGATAGTCTACTATTGTTATATTATTCTAGGGAGTTGCAATACCATAAAGTTTAATACAATAAAAGTTAAGAACCACTCTTATAACTCAAACAATAGCTATAGGAAAGTCAGCAGCACACTACATTTTAAGGCCTTAAGTAAATCAGGGTATCATATTAAGCTGTTACGTCTTTAATTTGGGTGATTACGTGAACATAACCACTGTGGCTTGTAATCATAGCTTATTATTCAGCATGTTCTGCAAACAAGCAGTGTTTGGATCTGTTTTAGGGTTTTACAGTAACCTCATAATTCTGTCAGATAATGAAATCCTTCCACATCACACAGAAAGAGATAACTTGTAGTTTGGACAGTAGTTTTGTTACGCAACTTACTCTTTTGTAAGAGAGATCATTTATAAGCCCAAATGCTGATTGGCTGAATTCTGATCAATTTTCTTTTGTTATTCATGTACTTTCAGATATTCCTGAAAAAAGCTGACTGATACTGAAGTTACAGGGAGTAATATATCCAATGGCTTTCTAGCTCTTCCATTCTTCTAAGACAATGAAGATGCATCAGAATGAGTGAGCTACTAATGGAGCAAAGCTAGATGCATAAAGAGCACCTCCTGCCCCAAGAACAGGAAGAAAAGTCTTGTGGTGAAATTTGGGAGAACCTTGGAGTTTTGTTACCATTCTTAAATGAAGACGGAAAGAATTTTTCACATATAGGTGCTGGGACTCAATTACAAGAAGCACTGTTGCTGGCTTATCTCACAGTCAGTTGCCTTTGCAGCTAGAAAACAAACATAGAAACAAATAAGAACTCTAGGGATGAATGTCCTGTGTAGAAGGTTTTTTTTGTTTGTTTTTTTTTGTTCTCTTGAGTAAGGACCATGTTGTTCCTATATTTCTTTCTTCTTCCTTGGACATTAAACCAGAATGTATCATTAAAAGGTACATTTAGAAGTGCAGGTTTATGGAATGTGAAGGGAAAGGGAAACTTGACGGTTGAGCACTTATGGAAAAGAACCAAGATATAATAATACTTGACCTCCAACCTTTCAAGTAACCTTTGCTATGTCCCCACCTCAAAACAAAATGCAAAGGAGAACCATTCTTAAAAATTGCAGGGGTGGCAGATGGCAGGGATAAAAAAAAATAACGTGCTAGAACTGCCATGGTTGAACATGCCTCTTTCATAAATACAGATCATGTTAAACTCTCCAGCCTTTTCATGCCTTGGGAATCAGTGCAAAGTTTACCGTTTAAAATCTGTAATGTACTGGTTGATGTGAATTTTAAAAAAGAAAAGAAACTGTAGATCAATTCTCAAAGGATAGGGGTTATTTAAAACAAAAACCCAATGTCTCTAACTATACACTGGAATGCATTATACTACTTTCATGTGCTGTATTTTTTTATTATTGGATACATTTGGTTTTATTCAAGAGTGTGTGCGTGAGTGTGTGTGAATACACATACACTCACAGACATATATATATATATATATATATATATATATATATATATATATATATATATATACATACATATATATATATATAAAGATACACTGTAGAAAGTGTTTTATTGCATTTTCCTTAAGCAGAGAAATCTGACAAACTGAAAATATTTTGCAGGTATGTTATAAGTATGTGAATGATTTGTCTTTTTGCATGAAGGTATAGCTGTAGCCAAGAGATATTTTTGCAAGGGGGAAAACGTCTATTAAAAGCAAAACTTAGCCATTTCCTCTGCATGCCAGTGTCTGTGCAATACAAAGAATATTAGCATACCAAAAATGGGCATTTTATTTCCTTAAAAATACCCATTATTTTACTTCCTTAAAAATACCCATTATAAACTAGAAGATAGGTGTTTTGTCCCCTAATAAATGTTTTTATAATTTATAATTCACCTTCATCTTTCCTAGGCCATGAACTTGCATAATCTTACTTAACTAGCAGCCTTGCTGGATCAAATGAATGCCCATCTCATCTACTATATTGGGCAATGAGAAGACTTCCGCTTGGATTGCAGAATATTTATCTGATATGAAAGTTACTTATCTTTTCAACCAATTTAAGCAAAGCCATCTAATAGACCTATAATTTATCTAATATTTTAGATTGGTCACTTTTCAGTTCTTTGGTAAGATTTAAAGACCTGGAACATATTTTATAAGAACTGAAACTTCACATTTGATATCTTTTAAGACTCTTAATATCATCTGAATCTAGTGATTTCTTCAATTTGTCAAAAAGATCTAGAAGTACGATTCCTAACATAACATAGAGGGATGTCAGTATACTTTTAGGCATCTTTAGGCCATCACTAGTCTTTCTGTTTCAGTTGACATTTTATATTTCCAAGACATTATTTCAATTAAAAGAAATGCTACCTACCCAGGGGGAAAAAAAGACCTAGCTTGGTTTTGGGGGTTGGGCCTAATATAAGCCCTACCCCCCCAAAATAAGCTCTACTTAAGACCCTCCCATTTCATCCCACCATAGATTTTTTTGGTAGGCTGGATTGCGTTCCTCGCCCTGCTTCCTTGCTTGGGGCGCACCACTGCTTTGCAGGCATGTTCAACTTTGTGGCTCAGCTACACTCTTTAGCTGCAGCAGGCCACAATTCCCATCAGTTTTAAGAAGCCTGGGTAATGGAAAGCTTAGGCCAAGCTCCTCGCAGCTGAAGCAATCCGGCTCACCCAGGGTCATCCCAGTCCTCCAGCTCCACCGTACATACAGGATGATCCTCTCATGATAGCCAACCTGATCCTGGGCAAGCCGGATTGCTTACAGGGAGAGGCTGCGGATTGCAGGAGGATGAATGCAAAGGGCACATGCGGATCCCTCAGCTCCTGGAGGTACGGCGGAGCTGGAGGACTGGGATGGGCTGAAGCTGATGGGAACTGCAGCCCGCCGCAGCTGAAGAGTTTAGCTGAGCCACAAAGTTGAACATGCCTGCAAAGCAGTGGTGTGCCCCAAGCAAGGAAACGGTGTGAGCTTTGAGGTTTTGAGTGTCTGTATTTCTATGGCTTGTGCGCAGAATTCACACCACACCTTCCCATTGGCGATCAAGGAGGCTAATTGTGGTAAATACAAATCATTGTTTTGAAAAATAAAGGGACGGATTACAATACTGATGATGAACGTAAATAAAAAGGCAGTTTCCAAAGCTTTCCTCCCCCACTGAGGGAAACCTGAGTTGCCTGGTGGGGCGGGGCATCGGGCGGGCAGGGCCTTGTAGTAAAAAAATAAGACACCCTCCAAAAATAAGCCCTAATGGGTTTGGACCAAAAAATAAATAAAAGACCCGGGCTTATTTTTGGGGAAACATGGTAGGAAACTGGCAGGCTCTGAAATACACGGCTATCTTCCAGCATCACCTTCATTTCCAAAGACTTTCTGGGCCTCAAATGGATATGAAAGGGCAAATATAAATAGGAGCAGGAACATACAAATGGCAAGTAGTGATTTGGTAAATCAGAGGTTTTTGCATGTTTATATCCTTGGTAGCAGATACTCAGCAGTGTGATTTGTCAGTGATAAGACTGATCAATGTAAATATGGGCTGCTGTAGTTTAGACCTACTGAAGTTTGCTCAGCAGCTAAGGGCAACCCCGTATAGAGTGAATTACAGTAATTTAAATAAGAGATGATCAGGGTATGACTTGCTGTCCTCGCTAAAGCTGGTCCTTAGATTATAACCATTCACTCAGTGAACGTTCAAAGTTATGATGCTGAACAAAGGGGGACTTACGTCCACTCATCGGGCGTTCTGACCATTGCATGGTCCCCACAATCATATGATCACAATCTGAGCACTCAGGCGCCCTGGTTATGATTACAATATTGCAGTGAGCTGTGACCACATGATCTTCATTTGCAACCTTCCCTGACAGCTTCCCACAAGCAAAGTCAAAAGAGAAACCAGCAGGGAAGACCAAAGTCACCCCCACTCTTTTTCTCCTAAGAGTCTTTCTGCACAACATGAGATCCCAGGAATCTTGTATTCCACAGTACTCCTCACCCACCCAACCATGTTCCTTAGACCCTGCCTGCAGTCCCTGCCAGCCCACCCATGCTCAGTAGCACTTGCCTGCAGCACTGCTTGCCTAGGATTTCAGTCATCTAAGTCCTCTGTTAATGACCCGCATGGTCTCTGGGTTATGACAGTAACTGGGATTGCCGTTGCTTTACAACCACATCATTTAGGAATAGGAATTCCTGTCTTAACTGCTATTACAACCCAAGGATTACCTATGTACCTCCTATTGCAGGAAACTGGCTACCCTTTTTCAGTTGCATGTACTTTTGGATTCAGAGCCAATAAAGACACCAGTATGGGTAATCGAGGCTTTATTCCAGGACAATATGAAAAACAAAACAATCAAATACAACATACAAAGAATATAAGGCTAACATCTAAGAAGTACTGAAAGTATACTCTTACAAAGAGTATATTACTAATATCTAAGAAAGACAAAGAAATCTTGCACTTCTTTTGTTTGTCAGGAAACTTCTCCATGTCAGCAAATGTATATTAACTTCCAGGTTAGGTCTGCTCTACAGTTCCACTCTACAGGGGCTTCTGACTGGTTTATATAAATCATAGGTAATAATCGTATCTATATACAGTATTTCTGCTCATTTCTGCGAAGGACAGGGTAGATTGGTGCATATTATCAAGAAGTCCACTTGTCCTTGCCAAGAACAAGGAGAAGTTTATCTTTTATCTTCTCTTATCCTTAAAAGGCCATACTAAGGGCAAAGAGTGCCTGTTTTTACTTCAGGTGGTTCAAGCCAAGAACAGAAGGAGTTCTACCACTATTTTGAAGTTTGAAGTCAACTAATCTAGTGTGGAAATACTCAAATGCATTTCAGTGTGCAGCTATTATATGGAAATATAGAATCTGGCACACAACACTACTCATTTTTGCCATGCCAATCTTCCAGTGGGACTTCCATTATGCTGGCTCATTAGCTTAAGCTAAGCAAAGACTTTCTTAGTCATGGCATTCAACTGTTCCTCTAGAACAGTGCTTTTCAACCTTTTCACAGATTTTATCACTTTTAGGATATGATAATATTCAAGTACCACCATTCTTAGCAAGGTATCAAAAGTTTGATGATCAAAAAAAGGGGTGGGGAAAGTACCAGATTTAATTTCTTTGGTGGCAGTTCCTTTGCTGAATCACTTTCCCTTTGCACTGACAAATGTATGATGAATTGATCCATATTTATTATTATCCATCACTACCTTGGTGGTAAGGTGGCTGGTCGGCCCTTCTTCCTCTCTCTCTCTCCTCTCTCTCTCTCTTTCACATCCTTCTTCGTTGATTCTTCTGCTTGTCTCACAGAAGCCTCCTCTTCTCTCTCTGTTTGTCCTCACTGCTTGCTGAGCTCTCCTTGCACAGCCTCTGCTCCTTCACTTGGTCCTCTGCTTATCTCACAGAAGCCTCTCTCTTTCCCCATAGTCTTTTTTTCCGTTTCCCCCTCCCGTCATTTATATTCTCTCCTTTTATACTCTCTCCCCCCTCCTCCTCCTTTTCTTTTCTGAGTGCACCACTCTCGGACTCAGGGAGAGCTCCAGCATCAGTCACTACCCCAGTCTCACTCTCCCACACAGTCACCCAAACCCCAGCTGGCCATTGCAGACACCGCTGATCAGCTGGAGCTGCACACTGCGATCCTGGGACCTCTGCTGAGCCTCAGTAGCCCTGCAGCTCCAGCTGACTCTCTCACCCCAGGGCCTGTCTGCTGCTCCTGGTGATAGTGGAGGTTGTCGGAAGTGCCAATCAGCTGGAGCTGTGTGTGCAGATCCAGGGCCCTCAGCAGAGCCCCAGCAACACTGACTCTCTGCCTGAAGATTGCTTGTGGTTGCTGGCACACACACCCCCAGGCCGCTGGAAGCACCAATCAGCTAGAGCCGCGTGCGCTGATCCAGGGCCCTCAGCAGAGCCCCAGCTCCAGCTGACTCTCCCCCAGCCTTCTCCCCACCACTTCAGCTCATTTCCCCCCCACACACACTTGTCTAGGTCGCATACCACATGCCAGGTGCCTAAAACCACTCTAGAAGGTGCTATAACTTCAGGAGTTCCAAAGGTGCTTTTCAGAGTTCTGAACTGAAGAAGATTTTTGGATGAGAAGCAAAACATCTTTAAGGAAAAAATAAAGTCCAGTTGCCTTTTGCAAAACGCTTTTAGGACAACCATGACCTGGATGACTGAGAATCTCCATAGACATTTATGAATTCAGGAAGATTCCCAGGTTGCCAATCTGCTCTCTCTGTAGCTTAACTTCAATAAGCTTGAAAATGTTATAATCACAGAAAATCTTGGCTTCTAAATTAGCAGCCACCCCATCTTGTTCTGGTTGATTCTGAGTCTGTTTCTCCCCATCCAAATCCTGACAGCCTCCAGGCACTGCTCAGGACACCTTCTGCATCTTCAGTTTGCCTGAAATGGAGATGTACAAGTGGGGATCATCAGCATATTGATGATACCACTTTGTGAACTCACATGACGTCTTCCAACTTCATATAGTAGTAAACAAGATAGGGAAGACCCCAAGTCACTCCATAATAGAGTGTCCTACTGACTCTTCCCTCACCAGATTGGATCCTCCCCAGTACATGGGGTGGAGCTATAGTTAAAATAGTACCTACAATTCCCAATCTTTTAACTATTAAAGAAATATGAATACAAGAGAGAAAAGAATAAAATCAAGACAATTAGATTTTTTTTCTTTTAATGACCCTCTAATGCCTTGCATCAGGTTGGAGTTGGGCCGACTGAATGGAGCTGAGCGTTTAAATTTTAAACGTCCGGATGCCCTTCCTGACGCCTACACAGAGCTCACAGCAAATATTTTCTCTTTGCACCCACAGAGGGGAACATCTGCTGCTACTTAGGATTGAATTCACAGCCTCCTGATTGTGAGGTGAAAGACAATTGGAATTACAGTGAAGAAAAAAATCAGCTTAATAATTGAAAACTATGGTAAAAGAGTAAATCTTCTCATGAACCTATTCATATATAACCTCATTCCTGCAACTGGATGTGTCTTTTCTGAGAAAAGCCCAATAAGGGTTCTTCAAAAGAAACTTCAGTTTCATCCATGGTTCCTAACAATCATTTCAAGTTAGTTTTACTCAGGTTTAATTCTGGTTGTCTTCCAGTAGACTGGATCCCATGAGCAAAAGATCTTAATGCAAGACTTTGATTCTAACTGCATTGAATCCAGACCTTTATTGGCTCTCTTTTTGTCTCACGTTCCTTGTTCAAAGCATCAGAGACTACCTAATAGCACTTCATGTATTATTGAGAATTTTACCTTGTAGATATAAATCTGTTACAATTTAACCATTTTTTTAACCCACAGGAAATAGATATAACAATACTACTATGAAGAAAGCCAGAGGAACATTAATAGAAAACAAAAATACATTTCTAGAAAATCAAAACTATTTTAATTTGGAAAAAAAAAAGGAGAAATGAAAGTTGAAAACTAAGGCACAATCACCAAGTATTTTGTCAGCTGAAAGGGGTGAATGGTTGATTTCAAAGCACTTTTAAGGAATTAAAGTATCGCACAAAATGGGCAAGTAATCCCACCATGGACAAGCCAATAAGAATGAAAAGAACTCCAGCGCTGAAATACATGGGGCCCAATCTGTGCAAATAGAAGAGAAAAAAAAACCCAGCTAGAGTTAATCGAGGCTGGCTGTTGCCACAGTAATGTCAGTACTCTCACAAATAGCTTCCATAGTAACTTGGTAAATAGACTGAGACAAACCCTGCAGATTTGAGCTGCATTACTGGAGAAGGATTTAAAAAATACCCATCTAGCAAAATTAACTGATTGACTTGCAACTACTAGCGTTATCACCAGACATGGTATGCCCTTGAGCTGATCTAGATAGGCACAATTCTATACCTTATCTTCTTGGACTAACCACGGAAAGATAGGCAATTTCTGGCGGTTTCTTTTCTTAAAATACAAGGGGGAGATGATGTAGAAAAGGGATGGGGAACAATGGCCCTTTTATGCTTGTGGACTTCAAGTCCCAGAATTCCTGAGCCAGCCATGTTGGCTCAGCAATTCTGAAAGTTAAGGTCCACAAGTCATAATGGGGCCATAGTTTCCCACCTCTGATGTAGAATGAAAGAGCTGTTCCAAAATGCTGTGTTTTCTTTATCTTAATTATCAGTGAAGTGCTTAATCTGTGTCAAATCTATACCCCTTGAGAACTCATGGGGTTAAATATAAAATTAGTATATTCCTGGGGGCTACTTAGGAGTTAGGAAGTTGGGGGGGGGGAAAACAACCTAATTTGTTTTGTGCAAGGGATGGTTTTTGTACTGGAAAACATTAGCTTGCAATATGTTATCTACCTATAGCCTAAAGCAATCAGATTCAGAGATGGATTTGTGTTGCTCTCAAGGCTACAGATTCCACCTCGAAGATCAGAAAAATTACTTTTCTGAGAGACAATTTACTTGACTTACTTCACACAAGGATTACTCACCTTCTTTCAGCAGAATGCGCATATCCTCTAAAGTATTGATAGCGAGCATAAAGGTAAATTAGTCCACAGAAGGCAGCCAAAACTACAAAGAAGGCAATAATCAGATACTTAGAGTTAACAAATATTAATTTCAATAAGAAATTCAAAAACAGGAGGGGCTTTTTTCTTTAAAAAAAGTCTGAGGCATCTCAAGATCAGGTCACAAGTACAGCAAATTAGGTTTGCAGCATGGATGCTGGGATACATCCTCATTTTTGCATTGATGAAGTGATATAGATGTGTGTGTCTGTATGTGTGTGTGTATATGTGTACATATGTACGTATGTATGTATGTATGTATGTATGTCTTTGGTTATTCGGATTTTCTCCCATGTAAAATTGGAAGTGTCTTGGCGACGTTTCAACAAAGTCCCATTTGTCATCTTCAGGCTGGTGTTTTCGGCTTCATGCTCCTAGAAGCACGAAGCCGAAAACACCAGCCTGAAGATGACAAATGGGACTTCGCCAAAACATCGCCAAGACACTTCCAATTTTATGCGGGAGAAAACCTGAATAACCAAGACCTACATACTAACATCCGCGAAAACCTCAGAAAACAAACACACACACACACACACACACACACACACACACACACACACACACAGAGTGAAGGGGGGTAGTCTTGCCTTTCACCAGGCAAAAAACAACCTTGCTAGATATTCATTCACCAGCTACTTGGAGTGGTGGAAACTTTTACAGCTTAAGGGGACTCGCACCAGCCTTGCTTTAACAATGAAACAGACAATAAAATTCTGCAAAAGTCACTGCTTAAAAAGATCTTTTGTGACAACTGATTGAGGACTAATTAATAAAAGAGTCCTTAAATCACAATTTCTCTATCAACCTTTATTTTTTTACTTATAAACTGTCTCAATTGCCAAAGTAACTCTAGGAAGTATACCTTTCTGAAAAATCAGAAAAAAAATCATTAACAAAACCAATATCATAAAAATATTTGGAAAGGAAAAACACCAAACCTGTTCTTTGGTCTGCTCGCTAGCCAGGCCTGTAGAATTTCAATCATGTAAAGGAGCACTGTTATCTAGATGCTGCCATTACCTATTAGCACAACTGTAAAGATTTTTAGGCAGAAACAATAGCTTTAATTCTTGGCTTCCCATGTACCTTGAGCCTACAGAATATAGTACTTGTTCTTCCCTACACTAGCCTGATCCAGATGTGATCTATTTTGCCCAAACGTCTTGTGAAGCTTCTGTCAAATGTGAGAGTATAGCAAGACACAATAACTGCGTCCTTCAATAGCAATAGTGTCTCACATATACAGGTAGTCCTTGACTGTTCAAAGTTGCAACGGCACTAAAAAAAAGTGACTTATGACTATTTTTCACACTTACAACCTTTGCAGCATCCCCCATGGTCACATGATCAAAATTCAGATGCTTGGCAACTGACTCAGATTTATGACGGTTGCAGTGTCACGGGGGAGTCACGTGATCTCCTTTTGTGACCATCTGACAAGCAAAGTCAATGGGGAAGCCAGATTCACTTGACAACCATGTTGCTAGCTTAACAACTGCAGTGATCCACTTAACAACTGTGGCAAGAAAGGTCGTAAAATGGGGCAAATTCACTTAACAAATGTCTTGCTCAGCAACAGAAATTTTGGACTCAATTGTGGTGATGTGGAGGACTATCTGTAATTAATCTTCTTAAGCTTGTTCTCATGTGTATTGGCCTATTACATCATTTACAAGTGGTGCATTTTAGATTAACAGTGGAAAGCATCAGGTTGGCCATAGATGCCCCACAGCATTTTGAGGCAATCAGATGAAGTGGGAGCCCCTGTGCAGGTGATACCAAAGTCAGTAGGAGATACCAAAAACACCCCAGGGAAGCCCAAGGTACATCATCTCTACCACTGCAAGCTTGAGGCTTCCTTGATGCAAAGTCTACCCCGCTACTGGATTTTAATACTTACGGTAACTATTTATTTACAATGCAGTTACCTTAGATAAACATTAAAAATAAAAAGCGGTGGGGGGGGATTTTTAAAAGTTGTCCAGTTTCTCACTTATTCTTCTATATTTTTACTTGCAGAAAGGACATCACATCTGAGAGATTTTGAATTAGGATTTTATCTCTTACCTTGATGGGAAAAGATTCCAGCCACCCATAAGAGGGAGAGAAATATTGGGAAATATTCTGAGCAATTTGCTCTGATAAAACAAAGGAGAAAACAATCAGATCGCTGCTGATGGGGAAAAATAATTGCGACGGGACAAATCTGTCACATTTGCTTTGATTCTCATTTTCTTGACCTCTATGTTCATTTCAGCCCACTTCTGCATCCATTCACAAATTCATCTCAGACCACTATAGACAAACACGTGTACACATTGTCAGAACATTTCTCTATGCTATTTTGCAAACCACAATATTTTTGCAACTCATGCATTATTTCCCTACTTCTGAAAAGTGGATCTTTTTGTTCCAGTCTAAAAAAGAAATCACTATGATTATGTCCTTATTGCTGAATTGCATGCTTGGTGAGTAGTAACAACTGCAAATTCCTTTTGATTATATGGATAAAAGGTTTTCCTTTTAAAAGTGGGCTTACATTCTAAAATCTGACCAACTAGAGACAAGGAAAAAAATGGGACCAAAATGGAGGTTAAAAAAACCTGGAAGATGTGATCATTACAGTATTGAGGTATAATTGCATAGAAACTGAACATTTGCCTCATAAGTTTTATGGAAACAATAAGGTTTGAAGAGGAATTGCTTATAATTTGTTCTAATCGCTATCATTCTATAGCAGAATCTCTTTTGGCAACAAAAATAAATCGTTACAACAACAAAGCATCACAGGAATAAAGCACCACACTCCATGCAAGGAAATTAGAAAGTGAAGAAAAATAAAATGAGCTTTGTCTGCTTCTGGAAAGATAACAAATTAAGCATTAGTAGACCCATTTGAAGATGGTATTCCTTAGCGGTTGCAGCTTGGGGATGGGGGGGATTTTTAAAATGCCACATTCTACCGTTTATTGCCCAAAGCATGTGAAGATACTCAAAATTGAGCCTCTGATTATAGGTTAGGTACCACTATTCGGGGCGGGGTGATATGTCTGTAAAGATCATGGTGTCTAAGATCATGAGGACCTTATAGGTGAATAAAGTAGTCCTGGGATCTGTTCCAACATTGACATAAAGGAAGCAGAACTGCTCACTTCCATGTATATCCTCCTACGTACCTTATTTTGCAACTGAGCTGCAATAGATTGAATAGAAGGAGTTTCATTATCACAAATAAACCATTATCTGACCTGATCTGACCTTTTGATCATTTCCTCCCTTAAAGGGAAAGTGCACCAATTTTAACTAACTTCTCCTAGAAGGGAAGGTTGAAAAGTGTGGGCATTTCCAATGAAAAGGCTCTCCCTTATTATATACCCTATCCAAACCACAAATAAAACAGGAAACTGGAAACAGAACTTTATCATCTGATTTCTGAGTAAGGATGAAATGCAACAGTTAATACTAGTTAAATGTCCAGAAATAAGCAGAAAGTCAGTGCAGTTCACTCAGTATAAAAAGAATATATATTCCCTCTGGCAGCATTTTGAACCAATCAAAATCACATTTTGGAGCTGCCAGTCATCTGAGGAACATATTGTGGCAATAATTCAAACAAGTGATTAACAAGTGCACATCTCATTGGAGGCGTCAAAGTCAGAAGATAGTAGGTTGAAAATTCAGTCCATTTGATTTTAAAGATAGCAAATAGCAAATACTTCTGTTTATGAACAAGTGCAAAGAACTGGACACTTCTAGTTGACTTGATGGGTCTGGAGCTGTGTTTCTCAACCTGGCCACCCTCCAGATGTGTGGGCATCACCTTCCAAAATTCTCAACAGAGGCCATGCTGGCTAGGGAATTTGAAGGTTGCCCCATGTCGGAGCAAGTTATCTGGAACATCCCATATTTCCCTCCACTATGGAAAGTAGGATACTTTAGCAGAAAAACCACAGCCAAGAAAACAATGCCCTCATTTCTTCCCTCTCTTCGCTCAGTGCAAATCAGCCCCTCCCACTGGTACTTTGGAAGGGAGATGGATGTTTGTCTGAAATGTGTAGAATGCAGTTAGTAGTATCACCAAACAGTATTTTGTTATGAAAAACCTGTGTTTCCCTTTTCTCATTGAACATAGCATTACAGCCATGTGGAAATTAAGCAGGACAGATTCCATTAACCACTTGTGACAAGCTTTACCATGCCTTGACCAATTACTATTAATTTATAACCCACCTTCATTATTTTTATGATTAACTTGAGGCAATGAACATACCTAATACTCCTTTCTTCTCATCTTTTCCCCACAATAATAATTCTGTGAGATGGGTTGGGCTGAGAATGAGTGACCAGCCCAAACTCTCCTGCCAGACATCATGCCCAGGGTAGGAATAGAACTCATTGCCTCCTAGTGTACCAGTCTGATGCTTTAATCACTAGACCAAACTAGCTCTAAAGCAGGGGTGTCAAAATCAATTTCATTGAAGGCCGCATCAGCATTGGGGTTGCCCTTGGGGGGGCGGATGGGTGTGGCTAGGGTGGGTGCAGCCTACTGAGTGGGCATGGATGGAGTGGGTGTGGCCTACTGAGTAGGTATGGCCAGCTCTACATTGTTCGTGTCAAGGGTGCGTGTGGGGGCCTGGGCAGGAGTGAACAGATCTGAGGGTCTGTGGCAGAAGGGGGTGGGACTGGGGCAAGTGTTAAGGCATGGCCCATTTCTTCATTCCTCACAAAGGGTGACACCTCCCCAGCATGCACCCAGGGGGCGGGGCTGACACAGCAGGGGCTGGTTCCTTGTTGTTTCCAGACGGCCTTGTGGAGCTAAGACAATGCATTTCAGTATAGATGACCACCACAAAATTGTACATTGGCTCCCGGCTGGCCTGGGCCCGGACCAAGGCAGCAGGGGCCATTCCCTCTCTGCTTCCAGGATGGCTTCGCGGGCCACATAAAACCACTTTGTGGGCCGCATCCGGCCCCCGGGCCTTGTGTTTGACATGTCTGCTCTAAAGCTTTGCTCCTGGAATTATGCTGTCCCATAGAAAATGTAAGGAACAAGCACATTTTCTAGTGAAAAGGAGTGGAGTGACATGACAGCAGTCTTCCAGTATTTGAGAGGCTGCTGCAAAGAAGGGGGGTCAACTATTTTCCAAAGCACCAGAAGGCAGGAGAAGCACTGGATGGAAACTAATCAAGGAGAGACACAATCTAGAACTAAGGAGAAAATTCTTAAGAATGAAAACAAGCAGTGGAAAGGCTTGCCTTCAGAAGTTGTGGCTGCTCCATCACTGGAGGCTTTTAAGAAGAGACTGGACAGCCACTAGTCTGGAATGGTATAGGGCAGGGGTAGGCAACCTTGGCTCTTTTTTTTTTTTGTAAAAAGTTTTTATTTTCAATTTTACAATACATTACATTCATAAAAATACTTCAGATAAAAAATAAAAATGATACACACAACTTTCGGTATTGCTCACCCATTTCCCCCCAAACCGCATCCACCCTCTAACCTACTTCCCTCTTTCCCTCTTCTTCCTCTTCCTCACTCTCCCCCTCTCCTCCTTCTCCTCAATCTTCCTACTTGCTTCTCCCCTTCTTCTATCTTCTCGCTTTGGATGCGGTCCAGGGGAAATGCCCGAGCAATTCCTCTCTCCAAATTAAAACATCAATATTATATACAATAAAACTATTTCTACTTATCTGAACTACTTAAACTTCAACCCATCCTCCCCCCACCCCCCTCCCCCACCTCCCCACCCCGACTTCCCAGAGCTAAGTACAGGGTTATACAAACATATTAAACATAATCTATTTAAGTTTACTAATTATACAATAACCAAAATCATACTAACCCTTAATTCTCTTCAAACTTTAACATCATAAATTTATAAACAAATTCATTACTCATAAAATAAGTGAAACTTTGTAGTTCCATACTTCTTCTGAACATATTCTATCCATCTTCTCCATACATTAAAATATCTCTCTTGTGAATGGTCCTTTAAATAAGCAGAAATTTTGGCCATTTCTGCTAAATTAGAAACCTTAAATACCCATTCTACTAAAGAAGGCAGAGTATCCTTCTTCCAATATTGACCCACCAATAATCTTGCTGCTGTTATTAAATTCAACATTAAAATAGTTTCTTTAGCATCAAAATCCACAAAAATACCCAAAAGAAACAACTGGGGAGTAAACTTAATCTTCCTTTTAAAAACCTTTTGAATGTTCCACCAAATCATAATCCAGAAGGCTTTAATATTTTTACAAGTCCACCAAACATGAAAATAGGTTGCATCCAAAGCAACCGCATCTCCAACATTTAGGTTGCAGGTTCGGGTACATACAAGACAACTTTTTAGGATCCAGATGCCATCTATAAAACATTTTATAAAAAATTTTATAAAATGTTGATGCTGAGGGGAAAGGGAGAGATTTCCAAGCTGAGCCATGCTGGCTCAGGAATTCTAGGAGTTAAAGTCCACGAGTCATAAAAGAGCCAAGGTTGCCTACCCTTGTATAGGGTCTCCTGCTTGAGCAGGAGGTCCTTTCCAGCTCTGTTCTTCTGAATTTCTCAACATTGTGTTTCATTTTATGTCATTAGAGAGGATTTGTACAGGCATTTTCTGCTCAGAATGTGCAACATTCTAAAACAGTTTTAATACCTTTGTGGAAAGCAAAACAGAGAGAGCACAGACATTCTCTGGACCTCCCAGTTACTCCGTATATCAATATTTGTCAAGATCCTCCCTTTTGTCTAGAATTAGAAGGGTGGCATTTTAATGCTCGATGTTCATTGCAGAACTACAGTCTGAAAATAGGTTCATGAGAAAAATGAAAGGAAGTTGAAAGTTGTGGCAAGGGTATACTTGAGAACGTGGAGTAAAGAAATTGCTGAAGTGGCTTGACCATGCAGAAAGAATGAATGAAAATCAAACCACAGAGAAAATATATGAAGAGAGAATCAACAGATTGAGAGGAAGAAAGCTGACAAAGTCACAATTGGATGGAGAGGATGTTATACTTAAAAAAGAGAGAAAAGAGAAGCTCTAAAGCAGGGGTCTGCAACCTTGACAACTTTAAAATTTGTGGACTTCAGCTCCCAGCATTCCTCAGCCAGCTGGCTGAGGAATTCTGGGAGCTGAAGTCCACAAATTTTAAAGTTGTCAAGGTTGCAGACCCCTGCTTTAAAGAACAAAAAGTCAGAAAGCCTGGAAAGTTCTAGCAAATGTGTTAGTATAAATTAGATCCAGCTATGCTTTCTTCTCCCCCCATTTCATGTTTTATTTGAGGTTTTCCTTACTTCTTTTATGCACTTTGCCTAACATAATTTACCTTGAAAGGGAATGGCTTGATTGCTGCTTCTAAACGCATTTCAAAGGGGGAAAATGTTTTGTTTTGTTTTTTTACAAAGCAGCATTTAGCTTACTGTGCTCTGAAGATCCTTTCAAATTCTGGTGGGCCTGAAGTGATGGGAGGGGAGACTTTGAACTTCCTCCGAAAGGCGATCACCTGAATGGCAAAATAGGCTGGATGGGGACAAAAGGTAAAGAGAGGCTCATTATTTCTTTTGTTGAAGGAAAACAGCTCGGTCATTTGCATCAGCAAACACTGTTCACACTGAATATACAAAAGCAGAACACAGGAAAGCCTCAGAAGGACCCACAGACCTCACTTGATTCTTATCAGCTTCTTCCTCCCTTTCCACATTAATAGGCTGGGCAGAATTTTACCTTCAAGTGGTCAGATTACCCAACATTTCCACAAAAGGATTCTGTTGTACATCTGTGGGCATTTATTCTATTTATTTCTATAGGCCTAATGGTGAAGACTCTCTCCTCCCACTCGGAAGATTGAGAGTTCAATCCTTGGTAGCGGCAAATAAGGTGTGAATAAAAAATATCTGCTGCGAACTCCTATGTAGGTATCAGGAAGGGCACCTAGCCAGTAAATTCTCATCTCCATCCAGTCTCCCTGACTCTACCCTGAATAGAGACTACAGGGTCATAAAAAGGGAGAGTTTTTATTTGTATCCTGCCTTTATTATTTTTTACAAATAACTCAAGGCGATGAACGTACCTAATACTTCCTTCTCCTATTTTCCCAACAACAACAGCCCTGTGAGGTAGGTTGGGCTGAGAGAAGGACTGGCCCAAAATCACCCATCCGGCTCTCACGGCTAAGGAGGGACTAGAACTCACGGCCTCTTGCTTTCTAGCCTGGTGCGTTAACCACTTGACTGGACCAAACACTTTTGCTTTGGCTTACTTGTCATGGGGACAAACATGACAGAATCTTCAGTGGCTAGGAAGATGATTGACAGATTAGAGCCCCAGTTCTGTAAGGGCCGTTTGTGTTGAGTAACTGTGGAAGGTTAATGAGACCCTCCCTTCCCAAGTGAGGAAATTTCCTCCCCCACCTCCAAACTCTTTCCTCTCCTACCATCTCTCTTTTCTGCTGCTGTCCTATGATGTTATTTAACTATCTCGGCAGTATTTTAAAATGCTTTCTGTGGCATCTATTTCAATGTTTTATTTTACATTTTTTTAAAAATTAAATTTTAAAACACTGTATTTCTTTTGCATGTAGCCTTACAGCCAATAGTTATGAAGCCTTTATGAAACGCCTGGAATAAATAAATAGTATGGTGAATGCTCCAACACAGGAAGTTTTTAAGAAGAGACTGGCCAGCCATTTGTCTGAAATGGTATAGGGTTTCCTGCCTGAGCAGGGGGTTGGACTAGATGACCTCCACAGTCCCTTCCAATGGTTTATTATTATTATTATTATCATCATCATCATCATGTAAAAAGTAAAGAAAACATAACATAAAGTACTGACAAAGGTGTCCCTGGAAACATTAAATAAAGTGTCTGTGTGTCTGTGTTTTACTTAACATTTTCACTAGCCATTTCATATCCTAATATTCATATAGTAAGAACAAACTGCAAGGAACAAATTAAAAAGCTTTGACTCCACACCTTTAAAATCTGCAATCTTCCCTCAGACTGAGGCCAATTCTAAAAGAGGTGCATTCCATTGTTTGGGAGCGGCAGACAGCCCTTTTAATGACCTCTAAATAGCAAGCTAGTCAGTAAGACATTCCAAGGCAAAATGCTGAAATCAAAATACATAACAAGGCCAGAAAACAATTTTCAATTTGCAGCCTTACACAAATTGACGGTGTGATTTGATGCATACTTCTTTCAACTTTTAATCCTCAAACGGAGATTAAAACCATTCAATTCAAAAAAAGATGCAGTATTTGAATGTGAAAACCACCACAGAACCAAGCCCTAATAAAATAGAACATTTCATTTAAAGGTGCATTTCATTAATATGTTTTGAATTGCTGTGCACTGTGATGTGCACAGTCATGTTACACTGGAAAATGTTAAAGGTATTATGTTAGGCAAGAAGAAGAATGGAAACAAAGGTTATCAAATGCATTTTTACACGTGGATCAATTACTGTACTGAATTTGAAGTCTGCCAAGATATTGTAAGAAACATATAGCATATTTCAGGACAGCATTGCTTATTCCTCTTGGTTGTCATCTGCTGGGGAAGCAGCAACAAAGCACACTTAAGGAACTTTGTCCCAAACCAATATATTCCCCTCATAATTTCCACTAGCCTTGCTATCTACCCAGGGCAAGTATGAGAAAGGGAAATCAAAAAATTGTTGTTCTTTGTTCTTTTGGTTTGGTATTTGTTAAACAGCACCAAGAATATTAGGTCCAGTTCTGGGCCTAGCAACTTAGGAAGAACATTTGACCCACTGGAGTGGTGCCAGAAGAGAGTAACCAAGGCAACAAGGGACCTGGAAGGAAAAACTCAGGAGCAGTTGAGGATATTTACCTTGCAGGAGAGAATGTGTGAAGACTTGACAGTTATTCAATTGCTGAAAAGTTCTTATGTAGGTTCTTAAAAAACTCTCTGATAAATTGAAAGACAAAAAGGACAAATATAAAAAGTGGAAAGAGGGCAGAATAAGGCAGAATATCAGCAAATAGCCCAAGCCTGCAAAGATGAAGTGAGGAAAGCTAAGGCTCAAAATGAACTAAGGCTTGCTACCAAAGTCAGAAATAACAAAGCTTCTTTCAACATGTAAAAAACAAGAAAAAAGTGAAGGAAATGATTGGTCCATTAGTGGGAGAAAGTGACAAGAAGGTGACAAGCAACAGGGAGAAAGCAGAACTACTTGTTTTTTGCATCTGTCTTTACACAAAGGGAAAAAACAGTCCAACTTATCAAAAACAGTACCATAAAGAACAGATTAGAAACACAAGTTAAGATAGGCAAGAAAATGGTAAGTGAGCACCTATCTACCCTAGACGAGTTCAAATCACCAGGACCAGATGGTTTACACCCCAAGGTTCTAAGGAACTGGCAGATGTGATCTCAGAGCCACTGGACTATATCTTTCAAAGATCCTAGAGCACTGGGGAACTACCAGAGGACTGGAAAAGAGCTGATGTAGCTCCCATCTTCAAAAAAGGAAAAAAAATGGAACTACAGACCTATCAGCATGACCTCAATACCTGGGAAGATTCTGGAAAAACAACGAATAAGTGAACACCTAGACTCTAGAGGGAAACAAAGTCATTGCCAAAAGCCAGCATGGGTTTGTCAAAAATAGATCACGTCAGACAAATCTTATTGCATTCTTTGATCAGATGACAAAATTAGTGGACCAGAGGAATGCTGTGGATATAGTTTACTTGGACTTCAGTAAGGCATTTGGTAAAGTAGACCACAACCTACTACTTGATAAGATAGCAAAATGTGGGTTAGACAGCATCACCATCAGATGGATACGTAGCTGGCTGACCGGCCATACTCAGCGTGTGGTCCTCAATGGAATTGCATCTACATGGAGGGAAATGTGTGGTGGGGTGCCCCAGGGCTTTGTTGTGGGCCAGTGCCCTTCAACATTTTCATCAATGATTTGGATGAGGAACTCATCAAATTTGCAGACAACACCAAGCTGGCAGAAATAGCCAACACTCCAGAAGATAGGTTTAAGATACAGAAGGATCTTGACAGATTGAACATTGGGCGCTATCTAACAAAATGAAATTCAGTGGTGAAAAAAGTAAGCTTCTACATTTAGGCAAGAAAGACCAAATGCACAGGTATAGCACTATAGGTGGCACCTTGCTCAGTAGTAGTAACTGTGAGAGAGATCTCGGAGTCCTAGTGGACAATCACTTAAATATGAGCCAGCAGTGTGCTGCAGCTGCCAAGAAAGCCAACACAGTGCTAGGCTGCGGTAAGGCCACACTTGGAATACTGCATCCAGTTTTAGTCACCACGATGTAAAAAATATGTTGAGACTCTAGAAAGAATACAGAGAAGAGCAACAAAGATGATTAGAGGACTGGAGGCTAAAACATATAAGGAATGGCTGCTGGAATTGGGTATGTCTAGTTTAATGAAGAAAAGGACGAGGGGGGACATGATAGCAGTATTCCAATATCTCAGGGGCTGTCACAAAGAAGAGGGAGTCAAGCTATTCTCCAAAGCACCTGAAGGCAGGACAAGAAGCCATGGATGGAAACTAATCAAAGAGAGAATTTTAGTTTTTGTTCTTGTATTGGACAAACTAAACATCTCTATTGCTGGCAATAGACAACCACTGTTTCTATAACCTAGTCTTTGGCTTTTGCCCCTCCAAGTAGCTGAAAGAAACCATGAGTTACTTTCTATTTTATAAAAGGCTTATTAGAATATCACCAATCATTTTGGTTCTTTGCCTAACCTACTGCTAAATTTCTTATACAATGTACATTTTGTAGCTACCTTAATGACCCAGGTTTTTTTTTACAATCTATAAAGCTATATTCAATTTGTTTCTGTAACAGCAGAACGCATCTCTTACCTTGTTCCAGCACACCCAAAACAGTAACAGTGGACAGCAGAGCTATATGGTGCAACATCTTAGTCTTCCAAAGCACACCAGGAAAGTAAATCAGCTCAAAGCTAGGCACTCCTTGAAACTCCTCTGCTTTTAGTCATAATTCTGCAGTGCTGTTAGTATAATTAGGCAGTGGATGCCTTCATTTCCTCTTTTAAACAGCTGGTTAGTTAACTCCTTGCTTGCTGGAGCTGTAAATGGATCCCATCAACTACATGTTTCTTTGGAAAAAGATAATCCTTGTGGACCCATAAAAGCAAAAGTTTCTTGCAACTGGCCCTTTTATGACTGGAAAAGGTGATCATCTGAACATTTTATAACATTTCTTATAACTGGTCCTTTTATGGAGCAGATTGCAAAACCTGGTCCATTTCTATATCTTTTGGGACATAGTCTGGTTTCTCAACCAATCACACAACGGAAGTTGAGGAACTAGGCAAAGGGGATGATAGGGAACAGTCTTCCCCACCTTAACCTTGTTATTCCTCTTTGTTAAAGCAATGCAAATTCCATTCAAAGTAGTGTGGTGTTTTTGGAGTGGTGGATGGAATTAAAAGACAGAATATACACATTTGAATATGACAGTGAGTAAGAAGTACTGTCTCCCTTTTATAAATGATCTGAAGATGGATAACCACCACAGAGAAACATTTGTTTAGCCTACACACAGCTTGACCTAATTTCATTTTCTGTTATTTTCACTTGTGTCACTTCCCAAAGTTAGTTTGGTCTTTCTCCTCCTCTTCTCTTACACACATATTGGTAGGCAGAGGTGAGGAAATTGCCTAATTGTGTAAAGAAACTTTACCTTAATCTCTCACTTTAACTGGGATCTCCTCTGATGCTATTTTTGTAATTTCTGCTGTTTTATTTAAGGTTCATCCTTGTGTACCCTGGAGTATTTCTAAGCAATTTATTCCCTCACAACCTTCAGTCCTTATACCTGTGCTACATGTGAAATTTAATATTTATTAAGGAATTTGAATCTTCCGCTTAAACGGTGGTTACTAGTTTGAGCACTTAAGCAGTAATTGAAAGGCACAAACAAGAAATAGTCTTAAAACTTATATAACCCGTGGAACAACATATTTAAATGTTTGAGTCTTTTATAGTAGAGTCAACTTGCTTTGAAAAGAGTCTTTGTTCTTAAAATTATTTTAATACTTGGGAAAAATATTTTAATATTCATTTAACGCCTTAGTAGCAGTTGTGGGATTCAAATATGTGAACAACCGGTTCTCTGTGTGGGTGCCACTTCCGGAAGTCCATTCTGGACTTGGGCAACAAAAAATTAGCTACCGGTTCTGCTGAGGTGGTGCAAACTGACTGAATTCCATCACTGCTTATTAGGGATGATTAATATAGTGCTTTCCCTGGTTTTTCAGGTTCTTTGTTCAGTTTTTTTTAAATGTAATGCTAATTAGCATGCAACTGAGCAATATACCTTTAATGACTTAATGAGACTGCTTCTGAATCCTAGATATCTTTCTAGCCCATCCTTTGTTGGATTTAGAGAAGCCATTGCTGCTGGCCAAAGTTGACTGCCTTGAAAGGTCAGAAAAGTCATATATTAAACAAGAAGCTGGATAGAAGCATTCTCAAGTTAAGTTTGTGTTGCACATTAAATAGGCTTCAGTAAATTCTATGTAAGGGGTAAATTTAATTCCATTCTTATTAGCCAAAGCAAAGTGAGTATCCTTAGAAAACTAAAATTGGAAAGTGATAATAACTTGGCACACTGAGTTTGAGAATATGCCTATCTGCCTGGAAAGAAGGAAATATGGAATGATAGGGCTCTATTATGTTAATTAGGTATATTAAATATGACTATCTCCTTCAATAACATGGAGACTCACAGATTATACCCCCTTGTTCTACAAAAGGTAACACTTGTTAAAGATACTTGTACTTTTCTTAAGGTATATCCTTAATATATGAAATTGATCAATGCCATAAAATCTTGATTCTACAAAGTGAGAGGAAATAAAGTCTGTTTAACAAAAATGCCCATAAGTGAAAATGTCTATAACTGACATTATTTTCATTATTTGTCAATTGCCTAATTACAAACTTTATATAATTTACATCATTCTGTTTTGCAAGTTACATGAATTATGTAAGTTGTCAGTGTTGTTGTCATTTGGAAGCCGAGAAAAATAGAGAAGTTTCTGCACTTGGCTCAGCCCAGTACATAGCAAGGCAGAGTTAAAAAAATGTAGTATGTATTTTTCTAATATGCATGCCTATTTTACGATGATTCAAATGTATCAGAATATAGAGTTGCTGGACGCCTAACTTGTAGCCAATTACCTGTTCTAATGTGAGTCCCTTTGTTCCTGTAAAGTAAATATAGCTTCTATTTGGTTATCAGAGACAGTCTTTCACTTTGAAAATGTTGCTAATGTGTTTTGTGCCTGAAGCTCTGCAGACCCTCGCAAATAAACAATCTGGGTTTGTGGTTTTCACTGGAATGAACCTCACTGTAAAAATAGCTGACAAGGAAAAGGCAGCTATAGTTTTCTTGAGTTTTATCTCCAACGAGTGTGAAGTCTGAATTAAAATGTTTTCAGTTGCATCAGAAGTCAGTTGAATGGGGTTCTAGGAAATAAAGAGCAAGTTATGGCTCCTTCAAGCAAAAGATGTATCTAAGAGAATAGTACATTGGAAGAAATAGTCTATTGTTCATTTGTAGCAGTTAATAATTAACAGGCATTAAATGAATGTTTAAATTGACTCTTCTGAAAGGAAAAGCAAGGAATACTTGTTATTAATTCATGAAATTAACAGTATAGAATGGGATTTTTCACACCTGTGTGTTCCTTCTTTCCTTTATTCCTTTTAATTAAAGTATGATACAGTGGTCATGCTTTCTCAGAACAAGCAGTGCCACAGTCCTTTGGGGAGGGTTTAAGGCAGTGTTTCTCAACCTTGAAAAGTTTAAGGCATGTGGACTTCAACTCCCAGAATTCTGGGAGTTGAAGTCCACATGCCTTAAAATTATCAAGGTTGAGAAACACTGGTTTAAGGGATAAAATAGCTTTCAGCTTTTTAAATGAGGGTGCTGTCTATAGAAATTCTCAGTCATCCATGTCATGGTTGTCCCAAAGTTGTTTTTTTCAGGAGGCAACTGGACTTTCTTGTTTTTTCTTTGAAGACATATTGCTTCTTTGGGACAACCATGACCTAGATGACTAAAAATCTCCATAGACATTTAGCTATGCACTTTGGAATGAATAGAGCAGAGTAGCATAGCGTAGAATAGAACAGAACAGAAGCTGGAAGGGACGGTGGAGGTCTTTTAGCCCAGCCCCCTGCTCAAGGAGAACCTATACCATTTCAGACAAGTGACTGTCTAGACCAGACATGTCAAAACTCGCGATGTCACATGATGTCACTTGACATATTGGAGCTTTTTTTCCATTGCTGGCAATGGGGTGGACACAGTTTCCTGGTGAGGTGTCTGGCCCGCAGGCCGGCAGTTTGACACCCCTGGTCTAGGCTCTTCTTAAAAACCTCCAGTGATGGAGCACCCACAATTTCTGAAGGCAAGCTGTTCCACTGGTTAATTGTCCTCACTGTTAGGAAGTTTCTCCTTAATTCCAGGTTGCTTCTCTCTTTGATCAGTTTCCAACCATTGTTTCTTGTTCTGCCCTTTGGTGTTTTGGAGAATAATTTGACCCCCTCTTCTTTGCGGCAGCCCCTCAGATACTGGAATACTGTTATGTCACCCCCATTTCTTATTTTCTTTAGACTAGCCAACCCCAAGTCCTGCAGTCGTTCTTCATATGTTTCAGTCTCCAGGCCTTTGATCATCTTAGTTGCTCTTCTCTGAACTTTTTCCAAAGTCTCAACATCTTTTTTGTAGTATGGTGACCAAAATTGGTTGCAGTATTCCAGGTGTGGTCTTACTAGGGTTTTATAAAGCAGTACTAATATTTCATGTGATCTTCCTTTTATGCCTCTGTTTATACAACCTAGAATTGTTTTAGTTTTATTGACTGCTGCTGTACACTGCTGGCTCCTAGTCAAGTGATCGTCCACTAGGACCCCAAGGTCCCTCTCACAATTACTATTTTTGAGCCAGTTCTCACCTAATCTGTACTTGTACCTTTGATTTTTCCTGCCTAAATGTAAAACTTTGTTTTTATCCACATTAAAATTCATTTTGTTGTATAGGGCCCATTGTTCAAGTTTGTCAAGAACTTTTTGGAGTCTGACCTTGTTTCCTGGGGTGTTGGCTAATCTTGCCAGTTTAGTGTCATCTGCAAATTTGATGAGTTCCCCTTCCATTCCCTCAAGTTATTTATGAAGATATTGAAGAGTACTGAGCCTAAGACAGAGCCTTGTGATACCCCATTGCTTACTTCTCTCCACATGCATGTTGTACCATTGAGGACTACTCCTTGAGTATGGTTTGTCAGCCAGCTACAAATCTATCTGTTGGTGATATTGTCTATTCCACCTTTTTCAAGCAGTAGGTTGTGGTCTACTTTGTCAATTGCCTTACTAAAATCTAAGTATAATATGTCCACAGCATTTCGCTGAACACCCTTTGAGCACCCTTTGAATGGTGCGGGAGTATGAACAGATTTCCAGAAAACATTGCAGACTACAGGAACCATTTGCACTTCAGTTTGAGATGCAGGCAACACAGACTCATCCCCAACAGCCTGGGCCTGTCTTCAACAGTGAAGGGACCCAGGGCAGAAAACATCTTGCAGCCAAGAAGGCTCCACAACATTTGCACTACTCAAGTGACTCTGAGGACACAGATAAACCTCCAAATGGCCTCAAGGACTCTCTAAAAGAAGGCAAATGACCAGCTGTCTTCAAGGAGGGAAAAAAGTATTTGATCCCCTGCTGATTTTGTACATTTGCCCACTGACAAAGAAATGATCACTCTTTAATTTTAATGGTAGGTTTATTTTAACAATGAGAGACAAAATTACCAAAAAAAAAAAAAAATCCAGAAAAAGACATTTCAACAAAGTTATAAATTGATTTGCATTTTAATGAGTGAAATAAATATTTGATCCCCTATCAATCACTCTCTCATTTCTTTGTCAGTGGGCAAATGTACAAAATCAGCAGGAGATCAAATATTTTTTTTCCCTCACTGTAAATCCTTCCATTCCCCACCATCCGGTCAAAGCTGAAGAAGCTTCTTGGAAAAGAAGTGAAATGTCTTCAAAGAAAAACAAGAAAGTCCAGTTGCCTCCTGAAAAAGCACCTTTGGGGGTTCTTGTATTCTAATGACTTTTTGTTCCCTTTGTGCTTGTTGATTATTTCTTTTGCACAGTATACAGATATATGTCTATATACTATACAAAAGAGACAAGCCAAAAAGGGAACAATGCACCTCCTGACAAGCAATCAACACCCAGATGATTAACACCCAGATTTACATCAGACCACCAATCAAAAGATAAACAGTCAAGAGATAAACCCAATCAAGGAATTGCCAAACAAGCCAAACAAAGAATCTCTAAGCCCACCCCACCAACACTTGAGAGGGCAAGCCACTAAAATATAAATTGAGAGTCAACCCCATTTCTTACTAGCACTGATGATGTTACCTAGTTTTGGTAAACGTCTGCAAGAAAAACAACCAAGCTCAGAGAGCACCAAGGACTCTTCATTTCAAACTACAGATATTCTCCTTTATTAGTAGCTAAGCCTTAAAAATTTCAATGGATTATAAAGAAAGAAAGAAGAAGGCTTGATTCACTTTTTGATGCCATACGTTTACTGGCCACTTTCTCTATAGCCCTGGGCATGCATACATATAGAAATGTAAAAGTGTTCTTTTGCTAGGAAGCTATTATGGTCAAGAGTATCCAAAGCCACCAAAAGATCAAGGAGTAGGAAGATGGATGCACCAATGCCTTCCAGGCTCAGCCATAGTTCCTTCACGCATTTAGGTTGGGAGTTTTAACCAGCCCTGATGGTGAATTTGTTTTATGATTTGAAAATGGAATAGTTTAGATGTGGGTGAGTGTTATTTTGCATGTTATGTTTTTTGTTTTTTTTGCTTTTAATCTTTTGTGTGCTATCCAGCAATGGGTGGCTATACAAATGGTCTAAATATAAAGAAAAGAAATAGTACATATTGTTCATTGTTCTGATGCAAAACATAATTGCACATCTTGAAACAGGAAGTAGTGGATAAAAGTACCGTACAAGCTGTATTGCATACTCAATTTTCAGGAGTGTCCTGAAGGAAGGTCAGAATGCGGTGTGCAACCAAACGTGTAAGGGAAGGGGGGAGATATTCATAATACAGGCATTTCCTGTCGAGAAGCTGCCCCCAAGGGGAGATCAAGTTTCTTTTGGGGCATCTGGGTTGGGTTTACGATTCCAACCGAGAGTCCTGCAGATGCCCTGATGCCAAGCTACGTTATTGTATTTCAGAGGTGACAGCCATCACATTGAATTGCATCTGAAGTCTAAAAGGAAGCTAGCACAGAGCTTAGAGCACAGGTATAATATGCATACAGCAATGGATGCCAGCTAAGAGTCAAATTGCTGCATTCTAGATTAACTGAAGCTTAACATGAGAGAGCCAGTTTTTGTTTCTCAGAAAACAGCAAAAAAACATTTTTGTATCTCATTTACAGTCATCTTCTGATTATTTCCCTCCCCTACATTCTGAAGTATATTTTGTTTTGAAAAGTGCAAGGACGACTAGGATTTTCCAAACTGCTGCATTAATCTTCATGGCCAAAGATACATGAAATTGGCATTAATCATTGTCTAGCACTCTAATAAATAAAAATACGTATTTAAAATATATGCGTAATGTTGACATGGAAATGCATGCACGACAAATGGAAGCCTTAAGGCAGTGTTTCCCAAACTTGACAATTTTAAGGCATGTGGACTTCAACTCCCAGAATTCCACAGCCAGCGTTGCTGGCTGTGGAATTCTGGGAGTTGAAGTCCTCATGCCTTAAAATTGTCAAGTTTGGGAAACACTGGCTTAAGCCAACGCTCTGCATATGGCCTTCCAGTATCTTTCGATTTCAGGTCAGCCAAGGAATAGAATAGAATGGAAGGAGTGGACCTTGGTTTCTGGCAGGAAAAAAAAAGAGGAAAGAACAAGAAAGGGTAAAGAAGCCATACCAGTGCCAAAGATAATATATAAACTATATTCATCTCAGGATATTTTTTTAAAAAAACACAAACAATGTGTTCAATACACTAGCAAAATATTTATTTTTTTTTAATAATGACATAACAGAAGTGAAAGGTTTTTGGTGTGCCACAATAATTGTAATTAAAGAAAAAAAATGGGATTAATGGGCTCTTTATACATCTCAATGCCAAAAAAAAAAAAAAGTTAGCATCAAATCTGGACTGTTCACCATTTAAACAAGTGTAAAACATATAACCACCCCCAACATATATATAAAGAATTATAGTTTTAAAATCTATAAAAAGTAAAAAATATACACTCAGAAGATCTAACTCTTATTCAGTCTTTCATATAAAACTGTAAACATTTATTTACACAAAGAAAATGTGTCAAATAGAAAAACTGAGCACCCTTTCCATTTTGTGGGGGGGGAGGGGTTAGGAAGGTGGGGGATCTTGGACAGGTATGATTTTTTTCCACACCTTCTCATCAGCCCGGGACTGCAGCCTATAAATAAAACTGAGGCAACAGGCCAGGCAAATTGAAGGGAGAGAGGGGGGGGGTGTCTTATTGCTCTGAAGCTGCAGCAAATAGAAAGCACAAGTGCAGATATTCCATTATGAACTGCTACTAGTGACTGATGGGAGTGCCCTGCACTTAACCCCAGCTAGCTTCCATGTTCAATGATCACTGCACGGCACTTTTAACCTTTCTACATTATGCTACATTTTCAAATCTGAAACCATTTTGTATCAACTGAAAGCAACCACAACTGAAATCAAGTTGAAGATAGCTTAAATTTTAATTTTTTTAAAATGTTCTAAATTTTGAAAGGGCACAGTCAGTCCAAAATTATTGCATGCTAATTTATTTAACCAGAAGGCATTTCTTATTCTTGAAATGTTAAGAGATTACAACTCTCATCATTCCAGCAGCAGGGCAACTGTGTGTGGAACGATGGGAGTTGTAATCCAGGATATCTAAAAAGCATTAGGATGCTTATCCATAGGTATGTGCTGCATATGTTACTAAAAAGAAAAGATAGACAGGAGGTATCTGCCTATAGCACTTATAACACAAAGTGTCTGTTACATTTTCTTCTGACCAAAATTTCATCTGATAAATTAAGCTACAATGTTATAAAACTTGTAATTTTTTTACTGCACCTAAAGAAGAAATGAGAATAAGTCAATTGAGAAGTATGAGGTCCCAAGTACCTCCACAAACAAAAGGAAGGCACACTGGTGCAAGATTTTCAAAACACATAACAAATATACTTTATCTCCATTTCAAATCTGTTCCTCCCAGACCCCTATAATTTTTCATGGTCAAAAAAGCAACTACAAAGATTACAATATTTTCCAGCTGACATTCATTTTGGACCAAATCTTTGATTGAATTGAATTCACTGACAAATTTAACTCAATTGCTGATTTATGGAAAAGATTAGTAAATTTAACTCTAATCTAATTTACTTACAATATAGTGACACCTATATTTTATTTATTAAATTAAGCAACCCTTATAAAATGATGTTTTAAAAATATACACTCAACGCAATTTGCTTCAATTTGGACATATCAGTAGTGGAACCACTCATTAACATGCAGCTTTCACCATTATCCCCCATCAATTGTCCATCAAAACACAAACATCTCTTTAGCATGGCATACATAACTTGATCATGGATGGCAACCATATACAATGAAACAAACGGGAAAATTAAATTAAAAGTAGTGTTAAAGCAGATTGTTTTCCAAAGTGCACATTTGAGAGGAACACTGCAGATACAGTAAATTATTTTCCTATTGTTCATCTTCTTTAATCTCTTCACTGTTCCCCTGTCCAAAATATCCCAGATTCAAATATTTCTATACACTCTCCTGAACGTTTCTGATGCAAAGGAAATTCTAGGGTTCTCAGCTGCAGATGCTATGAACTAAATTAAGAATCCTTATAACAGGAGGTAAATAGCCCTGTTCATTAAAAAACTAAACAAAACCCCGAGTAGGAACAGAGAGGTATCTATGCATCTAAAACAACTTTCAAATTGATTACCTTTATAACTAAAGGTTAAGGCAAAAGGTGGTTTGTTGGCAAGCAGAAATTCTTTTTGGTAACACATTAAAAATAATTCTCTTTTCCTTGCCATATAAGGAACTAATTTTACACATCCAGGAAAGTATCTCCATGGACAATGATGAATTAGCAGCATTTATTTCATTGGAGATTAGCCTTTATATTTCTAAAGAGCTTCAATCACCATTTTCCCCAAGGGTCTCACAATTTTTAATTTTTTTAAAAAAGTATAGTGTGCCCCCATCTCCCTGTGCCATAACTGCAAAATTTTCAGTCAATAACTCCCAACACATAAGACTTGCTTCACATGCTTGACAAACACTAAATCATCCTATCTACATTGTACAGTATGCATGTGGCAACAAAAACACTGCTAATGCCCTCTGAATCAAACAGAGAAATGACGTGTGATCAATCCAACTTTAATGAATGCAGGAAAGGAGATAGAAAAAGTGCACACACTTGATTTTAAGTCTGTTTCTCCAATTAAAAAATAACTAAAAAGAAAAAGAAACCCCTCCCCCCAATAGCAGAGTGCAAATTGCTTAATTCAGTAAGCCATAAGCCAATTAACTTCAGGTTGCCCAGTTTAGATATACAGCAACCTGCTGCTGGAAATGTTGTAATATTTAAGGATCTCCAGTAGGTAAACCCATTATCGGTTATTGTGAATTCTTATATCTGGTTTGCTCAGAAAGTTGGCACATGCTGATTAGAACAGGGGTCCTCAACCTTGGCAACTTTAAGACTTGTGGACTTCAACTCCCAGAATTCTGGGAGTTGAAGTCTACAAGTCTTAAAGTTGCCAAGGTTGAGGACCCCTGGATTAGAGGATTATCCTCCCTAACTAAGGAGGACTCCACAAAATAACAAGGGTTATACACATTCTTTTCTTGAAAATGGTGGCAAGGTGGCACTTTTACTATTTATTTTAGAGGTCCAAATCAAGATCAAAAAATCAAGTACTATCTGTAGGAAAGAATGCCTTAACACTGAATATTTAAAGCCTATCCCTTGCTGGCTTACTTTCTGCACTGCAACTGCATGGGTTCACATTGAAGTCTTCAAATGTAAAACACTGGAAAAAGTTGCATTTTTGCTGGGTTGTTTGGGGTACACACCAAACTGTTTACATATGTTGTGTTCCAGACACACTATAGAAATGACGTTTTTCCCCTACCAAGCTGGTGCATCTTTTTCACGTTCTTAGACCCAGAAAGAAGCAACTCCAATACATTCCCACTAGAGCCTGTGAATTTTCAATGACACAGGTATTTGGTCCAAAGATAATTTGTAATTAGAAATAAAAAAATTGACTCAGGGAAGGAAAAAAAAAATCCAAATCTCATTTCAGTGATTCCCTAATAACTCGTCCAAATCATTCATCCACTCTTCTGAAGTCCTGTTTTTCAATAAAGTGTCTATGAGGTCTGTATCCCCAGTTAAGTTCTGTAGGCCATTACCTCCAGATGGGTTACTGTAGGCAAAAGGCAATTCCTGACTAGCTGTCCTGACAGGATAACCTTGAGTACAGTGTAGACTGGTTCTGTTGGACAGCTGCTGATTCTGATTCTGGCCGAAAGTCAGATCTGGGACAGTTTGACTCATGCTTGGCAAGACCTGTTGGGCCTGGACTGGCTGTTGAGTAGGAGGGTTTGTCCGCTGCTGGGCCCCTAACGATGGCAGTATCTGTCCAGAGACAGCTGAATTCATGGGTGCCATTGTCCTGCTGGTGTTGAGGCTTACCTGAGGCATTCCTTGGGCAAACTGTTGACTGGACAACTTTAAGTGAGTTTGCTGCATATGGAACGTGGAGCTGGCAGTAAACGTCCCTAAACCATTATTTCGTTGAGCCTGATTGTTCATATTTGATATACCTTGATGCTGCCAGGATGAATTTTGGGCCCCAATTGCTGGCATTCTTGCCATCTGAGGCTTGGATAATGTAGCATTTAGTGCCCCTTTATTGTGTTGGTGAGAAATGCCTGAATTTCCTAACGTGTTCTGTCCATATCCAGCAGGGAGAGCAGTGCCCTGAGCCAAACTGGGTTGTCTTTGCATTTGTGGCTGACCATTGGCAGTTGGATTTGCATGTTGTTGGACCATTTGGGTCATACCAGATGCCATGCTGTATAAATTGCCTCGCTGAATATTCTGCAGACCAGTATATTGATTAACCGCTCGATCTTGCTGATTGCTGCTTGATGAGACAGAATTGTGCCCTGTTCCAATCTGAATCATGTTCTGATTCTGAGAAAACATTCGTGGACTGCTAGAGTTGGACTGGCCTAAATTATTTACCCCTGTCATTGATGGAGATGAGCCTGCAATATAATACAAGATTACCAACATTAGTGATTTTAAAAACCAATCCGAACATTCTCAGAGTATTTGATGAAACATTTTATACATGTAACATGCAATATAGTAATTTCTAGCTAGATTTAGGGTTTGTTGGCTTAGATCCTGAAAATGTCTGGTGGGATGGGCTTTCTCCTTCCTGCCAGCCTTCTGAATAGCCTCTTTTAAAGTCTTGTGTGACTCTGGAGGCTAAGGGAAAAAGTCAAAAATTAAACAAAGGCAGCTTTACTGAGCATCTCTTTCCTTCTGTCATAATGGCATGCTTTATGTGTCATACACATCTCAAAAAACATGACTTTTCATAAGATTTACTGTTTTAAATGCAACTGGTTAATCTGGAATATATTGTACAAAGATACAACTATTTAACAATGTTGATTTCTGTTCCAACTAGTTACATGGGCTTTCTGTTTAAATCCGTTTCAGATAGAAGATTCATTTACATTGCATATTTACATGTGAGTCAAGTCACTATTAGCCATCCTTAAATACATATGTATGTAGGAAAGCATCTCTGCAAACTGAACCATACATGCATATTGCTCCAGTGCTTTTCATAATTGTAACAGTTGAATTCTAAAAGCTGTTTAAAAGATGTGTTCATGGTGAAAAAGCATCTGTATTAACCAGCTCTTAGTTATTAAGATAAGCAGGATTACAGCTACTGATAGAGTACATGGAAGATAGCCTATGCCACCACTATTACTCTATTAGCTGAAAACCAAAACCTATAAATTGTGAACCCACCAAAAGAGTGGGGATTGCTATGTATAAGCCACACTAGGAAGCAGGAATAATTTACTACTCATTTTCATGCATTTATATTTCATCTATAACGTAATATAAAATTGCTTCTCAACTATTTAGAAGAGTTCCAATTCTATTGAAAAAGGATTCACATGGCACAGGGGAATAGGAATTATAGAGTTATAAAGCAGTTCTGCAAATTGCTTCCAGCTTGTACAACCTATGGGTACTCTAGCTATGGAATACATACACATACACACACGCACACAAACATAATCCTGTGAGAAAGCAGGGATATATTTAATGATTAAATATGCAAAACAATATTACAGAGAGTCCTTGTTGAATAACTTGTTCAGCAATCATTCAAAGCAATGATGGTGTTCAACCTATGACTGATCCTTGAGTTGTGATCACCGCAGCATTTCTTTGGTCATACGTTTGCTATTTGGGTGCTCAGTAACCAATTGTGATATTGTAGCATTTCTGTGGTCATGCAACAAGCAAATCAATGGGGAAGTTGATAGGTTGCAAATGACAATCATTGACCAAGGGATGGTGTGACCATGTGAGATTTGCTTAATGACGGCAATTGAGATTGCCAAAACTGCCACTGTAACTATAGTGGTCATATGATGTCATGTCTTATGATTGCATCACTTAGCAACAGAATTCCCAGTTCCAATTATCATCAATAAGTGAGAACAAGCTGTATTGGACAATGTTTGCTGGGGCACTGGCAGAGGCATTTTGGTAATAATGAAGAATGAAGCAGCACTGAGATCAGGACAACTTTTTCTATTACAAATTTATGCATTTAATTATGAATCTAATACTTAGTACAGAGCTAGGAAACAGGGAGGTTAGCAGACAAAATGGGGAATATGACACAAATTTCCTGTTAGTGCATGTTTGTTTACAATTACTAAACAAGGTCACAGAGAAAGATAATATGAGGGCAATTAGGAAATAAACCTCCGTTTGGTTATCAATGACAGACACTTGCAGTTACAGAACTTTATTACACACATTAGAAAACTACAACATTACATTACTTTTTGACATAATTGCCATTCAAATTGAAGCACTTGTCATAACATCTTACAAGGTTTGAAATTCCTTAGTATTAGTTGCTTGGTGCCAAATCTGGGCTATGGGGGTGTGATCAAAAACATCCCAACGGAACTGCTTCAAAAGTTCTTGTGTGCGTCTAGTGGTGTGTGGGCAAGCATTATCGTGAACCAACACAACACTGGAAGTCAGCATGCCCTGACACCTGTTATGGATGGTTCATCTGAGTTTTCGTAACGTTTCACAGTAGACTTCTGAACTGATGGTTGAACCACGCTCCATGAACTTCACTAGCAGTACTCCTTTGGCATCTTCACATTTGGCGGGATTTTCTATGGCACCCCTTCTGGTGTGGTGTTGGTTCACAACAATGCTCACCTGCATATTGCTAGATGCACACAAGAACTTTTGAAGCAGTTCCGTTGGGATGTTTTTGATCACCCCCCCCCCCATAGCCCAGATCTGGCGCTGAGCAACTACTAAGGAATTTCAAACCTTGTAAAACGTTACGACAAGTGCCTCAGTTTAAATGGTGATTATGTTGAAAAATAATGTAATGTTGTAGTTTTCTAATGTGTATAATAAAACTTCTATATCTGCGAATGTCTGTCATTAATAACCAAATGGAAGTTTATTTCGGAATTGCCCTTGTAACAGTGAATTTTCTTCCATTCAAGAGGTAATTTCAAAATACTATTCATGTAGAAGGATCTATACCACAGGTCGGCAACCTGCGGCTCCGGAGCCGCATGCGGCTCTTTGAGCCTTCCCCTGTGGCTCCCAGCCTCCTCTGCCTTTGCAGAGAGAGACAGAGACAGAGAGAGTCAATTGCGCTTCCCTGCTTCTCTCTCTCTCTCTCTCTCTCTCTCTCTCTATGCGTAAAAGAGAGTGCACTCACATTGTTCTCCGAGGAGCTGAAAAGCTTTCTGGGCGGAGCTCCTCCCTTTGCTGCGTCTAGCTAGCCCAGCTAGGCTTCAGGAATTCTGGGAGTTGAAGTCCCATAAAAGAGACGAGGTTGCCTACCCCTGAGATTGTTGGAGAACAACTTGAAGCTTGCCAGGTGAGCAGCGAAAGAGAGTTGACCCTTTTGACATCTAAAATGAAGATAACACTGCATATACAGTGTAATTTTATTAAAGCATTCTCTCGGTGATCATTGTTTTAATAGTATGGATATTCCCAAGAGTCATATTTTTACTTTTATTTTTAAGTGTACACAAATCTTCTATAATAAAGATAAAAAAGGATATATGCAGTGTTATCTTCATTTTAGATATCAAAAGGGTTTTGCGGCTCCCGGTGTTTTGTTTTTGGTGGGAAACGGGTTCAAGTGGCTCTTTGAGTGTTTTGGGTTGCCTACCCCTGATCTATACTTATATAAAGATACTCTGCTTCGCACAGTGTGCTGTTTCACATTGAAAAATTAACTTAAGAAAAAATGAACACAGTTTTAAAATTCTTAGAAAACAAACAGGAGTGTGACAACTATAATTATTTCAAAGAGCATCAAGGAGCCTAGCTTTCAATGTGAAAGGTTTGTCTAAACCAATATCTTGTGTGCTTACAAGGAGAGAATCAGTTAATATTACAGAAATATTAATAGTGTTCCTAACAATGTAACATTCTTTATCCACATATGCTGCAATATAAAGGATTGTTACTTTTGTGGAATGCTGCTTTTAAAACCTTCAGAATTTAAAAGCATGACATTTACCATCTGTGGACTTGATTCCTACCCCCTTGATACTTGCAAGGATCTGGGGGAAGGAGGTATAACAACTTGAATCTGGCAGAGGCCCTGAAAGAACCTGAGTGGTGTGCCCCTTACTCAAACTCTCCCTGGATCTTCTGTTTTTGACAATGATCACCCAGTTTTTAACCTTTCCTTTTGTTGCTGAGTGAGTGATGGGGATGTAGAATGTCCGGGGGATGCAAATTGTCTGGACCCTCTTAAGTCAGGATTTAGATCTGGACTGATTACTGAATGGCCTTTGTCACTGTGATGGGTAATCTTTGCTGGAACCTGGGCAGGTGTAGACCATCCCACTGACCAGGAGATCCTTTTGGATTGCATGCAAAGACTGGACGGTCTGTTTTGGAGTGATTCTAATCCTTCCTGAGTTAAGAACTTCCACTTCAATTTGGTGTTTGTGGGAGAGGAGAAAATGATCTAGTGACTACTCTCCACTTCTCTATTTAAAATTTACATAATGCTAAGACAGGTCATCTGGTCCCTTGGTGTAAAGTACCAGCAATAAGATCATTATTTACTGTTACTGGGGGCCTGGGGAAATCCTGATGGGCTGTTAAGACTGGATAAAAGAAAATAAGCTTAAATTCCATCCAAAGAAGGTGAAATTATTATTTGTTCACCATGGTTCTCTGCCACCTCTAATAGTAGAACCGCCCTGGCAGAGTAAGGCCATGTTTGGGTGACCTTCTTGGGTGAGTAGTACCTGCTAAAAAAGTCATGGTCGAAAGTTCTTTTCTTCAATTTCCATTAATGTCCCCATTAAGGCCTGAACCGGAACGCAAAGCTCTTCGTACAGTGACTGCCCTTATTACCGCTTACTTATAAGAGTACAATGCACATTATTTGGGGCTGCCTTCAAATGTATCTTTTTGATTCATCCAAAACATCTCTCTCAGGAGAATGTTGACATTGTGCAGGAAGTATGTGCATGTGGGAACAATAGAGATATCTTCCCTTTGATAAAAGATTGACTAATTTGGGAACAGCTTTTTGGAAGCTACCAATAGTTAAAATCTAATTATCTTGTAGGGCTTTGGGGTGAATGTCATATTGTCAGAGCTGTTATATGATTTTATTAACTTGAACAATTAATCGGCATTTTATTGTGGATATTTTAACTGTCTATTTTGCACCTATTTCCAATCATTAGGAATCACACATTGTAATGGCACATGTATTTAATAAATAATAGTATAAGACTACATTTTGAGTACAAAAAAGCATTTTAAATATCTCATGTCCATCCCAGTCCTTCATATTTCAACCCCACATCCCCCTTTACCTGGAAACTGGCCAACTTGCTGTTGATATGTATTTTGTGTCTGATCTTGGTACTGAGGAGGTGGTCGTGTCAAATGTCTTTGGAGTTGTTGCTCCTGATGATGCCTTTGTTTCTCCTAAAATAGAAATCCAGGTTTTCAGAAGAATGTTTTTCCACACAATGCATCGGATGTAAAGTTTTATTGGTGTACCAACTAATCCAGACATGTCAAAAACAAGGCCCGGGGGCCGGATGCGGCCCGTGAAGTGGTTTCATGTGGCCCACGAAGCCACCTTGGAAACAAGTGAGGGAATGGCCCCTGCTGCCTTGGCCCTGGCCCAGGCCGGCCGGGAGCCAATGTACAATTTTGTGGTGGCCATCTATGCTGAAACGCATTCAGCCTTAGCTTCACAAGGCTGTCTGGAAACAGTGATGAACCACCCCCTGCCACGTCGGTCATGCCCCCTGGGTACATGCTGGGGAGGTGTCACCTTTCGTGAGGAATGAAATGCACCATTGCCTGGACGTGGCCAGCAAATGGCTCTCGCCTACTTCACATATCCGGCTTGATGGGCTCTGGGGGAGGGGTTTCGGCAGGCAGTGGGGCGCTCTCCTCACAGTGCTGAGAGGCTGAGCTGAGTGGCGCAAATCCCAAAAGAAGCACAACACCGCCTAGCCCTCAGTGACAAGAGCTGAGCCAGGTGGTGTGAAACTGATGTGAAGTATAATGCTGCCTAACCCCCAGCCTGCCCATTTTCAGCAGGCAGCAAGGTGCAAAGCTGGCGAGCTTCGCACTACCCGGCTCAACTTCTCGGCGCTGTGAGGAGAGCGCCCTGCTGCCTGCTGAAACAGGGCAGGCTGGGGGTTGGGTGGCATCGCGCTTTTTGGATTCACGCCGCCTAGTTCAGGGTGCTGTGAGGAGAGCGCCCGCTGCCTACAGAGACCACATGGCGTTGCGCATGGCCTGAGAGGAACGGTGAGGCTCCTCCAATGGACTATGCCTCTGTAATAATCTTATTCAGCATTCTAGCAAGTGAATTGTTCACTTCTGGTCTAAGGCAACTCAGTGTGACCAGGCACCAAGTTGTCTCAGGACAATTCAACACCGTCAATTCGCCACAGGGACAACGTGCTGTGGGCAGGCAGAAGAAAGGCTGGGTGGGCAGGCAGAACAAGTAGGTGGGCAGAGAACAGAGTGGCAGCTGGGGGCTTTCCACTGGATGGAGAGCCGGGCAGGTAGGCGAGCAGAGCAGCGGTGACTGGAGGCTTCCTATTTTCACTCCCTCCCCACACGGCTGTTGCGACTGCACCGAGCTCTGGGCCATTTGGAGTTTGGTTGCTGCAGCAGGGTGTGTGAAAATGGGGCACATCTAATGGCCCAAATGCTGCTTCTGCCAAACCATCCAAACTCTGAATGGTCAGGAGCTTGTGCAATGGCAGCAGGGGTGTGTGAAAATGGGGGGAACCCCTGGCCACCGCTCCACCCATCCGCTTGCTCGGCTCTGCCTCCGGCGGGAAGCCCCTGGCTGCTGCTGCCACTCTGTGCTCTGCCTACCTGCTTGCTTGCCCAACTGGCTCTCCCTCCAGCTGTCCACGATGAGTTGCCCCCACGGCAAATTGGCTGTGTTGAGTTGTCCTGTAACAACTTGCAGCAGTGAATTGGCAGAGGGCAGTTGGCAGTGATGAGCTGTCCCATTCTGTTCCCTTCTCCATCATTTCCCTTCCTGTCCCTTATTAGGGTTGTCCTAACTGGGCTGTTTTTGAACTATTCACTCCTAAAGTTTCTTCTAATGTTTCTTAACACCTCCTTTATCAGCAGAAAAGTGCAGTTCTTGTTATATAAGGATCCATACTCTCCCCTAAATTCTGGAAACAGGGATCATGTAGCCATTATCCTGCCCTTCTCTTTAGACCAATTTTCAAGGCAGCTCACAATAGTGAGCAACTGTCCCCATGGATGTCTGACTGCAAGTCTTCCTAATTCTTTTTGAATGAAGGGCATGTGTTTGAGAAGTGGGTGGGAATCCTACAGAATTTGCAATAAGTAGTACTAGGCTACTCTCATGTGGCAAATAATATGCAACCAGATTAATTAATATAATCAAGTACTGAATACTCCACTAGATTGGCACAATCTTTATCACAGCAATATGTTTTACCTGTTCAGCAAGAAGTTGCCTTTGTCCCATTAGAAACTGTTTGTGTTGTTCTATTAACAACTGCTTTTGTTGCTGCTTATGATCTAGTAGCATCTGGTGCTGCTTCATTACAGCTGCTTGCTGCTGACTGTTGAGATAAGCTGCATTACCATGGTTACCTGCCATGGAAACATTAGGAGGCTGTGCATTTACACCATTGCCAGGAACAGAAACGGGAATGCGAGGAACACCAGCAGAATGATTTTGATCCTATAAAAAGCAGAGACAGATATTGGCTATGCAACAAGGACACCACTTGAGAAAAGCAGTATCTCCACATTTTTAATGACCACAATAATGGAAAACTTCTTCAGTGTTTATTACTGCACAGCAATTCATGGAAAAGTATAATCCAGCATAACTCCGTTTCTAAATGAAATGCCAAGGTGTATGAAATAGCTTATACAGAAGAGCTGCCACCTAAAAGTAATCTGAAAAGGTTTCAGAGGCAGTTCAATAAAGATCAACTTCCATGTAGACTCTTTCAATAGGAAAAAAAATATTTAAACGTAAATAACTGAAACTTTTCAAATAGATTCCTACTTCTAGTTTGAATGAGAATAACAACATATCCTTCCTAAAACTGGCTATTTCAATTGTAGATTAATATGGCTAAGAGTTGAATACCCACAGGTTCCAAAAATTCAGCTCAGGCAGAAATTGTTCACAGTCAATATCAGATTCTTAATTGATGCAACTACTTTGGATAAAATTAGTTATTTTGGATTCAGAAAAATAAGGTTTCTAATTGGTTTCTGAAGCAGACCTTGATTTACTTTGGGTCTCCCCAAATTTTAATATTTCGAATGAATGTTTTATTCTACTACTAAATTAAGTGATAACAAATTGTGTGGTTTCCTTTGTTAAATTTATGACTATAGTTCATATCAAGAATGCAGTGCTCCCTTTTCTTTTAACTTGGCTGTAGGAACTCTTACTTAAGCCATGAAAAACTTTTTAAGATTTTACAAGAGGTAGAATATAAGATTCTCCTATATATAGACAATTCACTGGTTTTATAAATAAAGCAGTGATTCCCAGTCTTTATTTCATTTTTCCATTACATAACTTTGTTATCTTATAAATGTGAATAAATCAGACTAATTCCACTAGTTTGGTAATAATTTTGATAAGCTTAAATATTTGGTTTTATGATATGCCTCAATCCTTTTGCTGATCTTGGTATAAAAGTTATTTCTTGGTTAGGAAAGAAAAATTAAAGAGGTAAACAAACGGTTTAGAATTTCTTGAATATTTAGAGTAGGAGAAAATTGGGATAATTTAATTCTGATGTTTATTTACGAACTCTGTCTATTGACATTCCTTTATGTAATTTCAAGCAACTTTATATGCCATTAAAATAACTTTCTTTGAATGAGCACTTGTGAGATCCTACCATGCATTAATTACCATACATGTTGAGAAAGATGGATTTCACTTTCAAATTTAGCAATGGGCAATTTGATTTCTGTTTCTGGCTAGAACAAGGAATTCCAGAATTCAGTTCCTCCACTGGTTCAAGTGAAAGCTATAATTTGATCCCATTGAAATTGTGCAAGTATTAGGATTCTTGTTTGTTCAGGGATCAGTTACAATATACAGAAGCATACAGCACTTAGTAAGATACAGAAAACATTGAGCTACAGTTATATTATTGACCCTTTAATCCAGGGGTCCCCAACTGTGGCCCATGGATCGATACTGGGAAGCAGTATGCCAGAAACTGGTCTGTGCTAACAAGAGAAGCCCCATCCATGGGATGTAAGCAGTATGCGAAACCACGTCCCCTCTTGTCTGCGGAATCAGTCCCTGGTGCCCAAAAGGTTGGGGGTTGCTGCTTTAATCCATGAGATGATCCATTATGGGATTAAAAACAACTGCTAAATCAATGTTGGGGATGATGGGCAAGAGATGGTGAACAGAATTCTGGCTCAATGAATATCCCAACTCTGATATTAATATATAAATAACATTCAGGCAAGAATACATCAAATTTTGGCATGCTTTGAGGTCGGGATAGTTTTAAATTGCCATTCTGATTACTTTCTTCCAGAATTTGCTAGGTAGTATTGAATCAAAGGTTGCTCTTAAATCATCCAGCCTAATCCATTAAATAACCATAAATCAAATTTCACTGAGAGTAAAACTAAACTCCATTATCTTTAGATTTCCATGAGGAAGGAGGAGGAAATTAGGCATTATAATGGGGAGAAAAAACTGTGACATTAATTCCCATCAAAGCATAGCATTAAAGTCACCAGTGAATATTGATACTGAATTTGAAAATTGAGAAATTAAGTCAAGGCAACCCCACCTATTGTAAATTTAGGATGAGATACAGATACTTATCAGGAGAAATCTAGTTGTATTGATTTTTAAGGGAATATCTATAGTTGGTTACTCACAATAAGAAATCAAATACCTACATACCTATTATGCTATTGTGTAACTTTATGCAAAATATAGAAAAAGAGTAAGCCAGGGGAATTACAAGTCAGGTCACAGACTTGTCTGTAAAATCATTTGCCCACCATTGACTTGTAGTCCGATGCTTTCATATAACATTATTTTTGTAAGACAGAAAAAGGATAGTCCAAATTATTAGCCTTAACTGCATTTTGATCACATCCAACATTCCCTGATAATGGTATAAGTACAGCATCTGGAAAAATGTATCTTATTTGCCGTAATGGACTATTATATTGTCAGTCAATATTTGATGTGGTCTTTTATTGTCAGAGAATAAGAAAGAGGAATTTTGAGAAATTTGAAGTAAACTCTTTGGAGCTGTTTCATCATAGGATGTTTCAGGCTTCTTTTTCTTTCTCTATTTAACTTTTAATGCAATCAAGTATGCCTCTGTGTTTGTGTATTTCTTCTTTTGTTAATTAGATTTAATAAAATATTATGAAACAATTCTCTATTCTGTTATCTTATCATAGGGGCAATAGGAGGACAGGAAATTGAGCTTATGCGAGAAGTATACTTGCAATAAATGCATAATAGTAACAACATGTATGTTAGTGTGTCATTCAGCAGGAGATGGTAAACACAGATATGTTGGTCAACGTTTCCTTGCTTACCACAAGCATTTCATTCTTGCAGGTAGACAAGAGGTAGGTATCTAATGAAATTCCACAGTAATTGAAACAGAAATAGTTTCCCTGCCCTCAATTTCCTTTGGTCTTAAATATCCACTTCATATAACATTTAATGACCTGTGTAGGATTATGGTCGTAATTATAAAGGTTTTTCACAATTAATAAAAAGCATATAAATGGAGCTTTTTCACAATTAATAAAAACTATAATCAACTGCCAAAATTCAATTTGTTTTCTACAAAAGTAATAATCTTCATTGGAAAAAAGTTCCTGTCAGAGTCAAGCTGTCAGAAAAAAAGAATTTCCTTAAAATACATTATATCCTGGTTAACAGATTTTGAATTGAATACCAATCCTGAAAGAACCATTCAGAAACAGAAAAAAAAACCTACATATAAAGAAAACCTTTTACACATTTTTTTCCCCATGAAAATATCATTTTTTTTAAAGGACAAGATATATCATGCTGCTTTTTAAGCGAAAGGTTGATTTTAATAATTTCATTATCCTCTTAGGATCTTATAAGGCTATCTACAATATATACTATGAAATTAATTAGTCTGTTTATTCAGCTTATTCAGCCTATCTCATTTACTATACCCAACCAGCTGCTAGAAACACTTACCTGACTGTGTGGTACTAAAGGCCTATAAGCAATATTTCCAGACTTCTTCATTACAAATATGCCACTCTGCTCATCACTCATATGAGGCAGTGTAGGCTGCTGATGTTGCTGAAGGTATGCTAACATAGAAGACTTGTTTTGTCCGGGCACTGTGATTCCTTGCCCACATTCTTTGTAATGTGAAAGAGGTTTTGTATTCCCATAATCTAGCACAGAGTTTTGATTAGATACAGAATTCTGATTTATGTTGCTTGGCTGATGGCTTAACATATTTCCACCATGATAGTTACCTCCTGTCCTAGGAGAACTCTTGTTTGGCATATTGGGTATCAGGAGTTTTTGGTTACTGAAGTCTTGCTGATAAACAGAAGGGCTAGTTGGATTGTCCATAGAGTATGGGAGAGCCAATGGACTATGGGAAGGTCCAGATTGCTGCCAGCTAGAAATTTGATTGGATGGGTGGACCTGCTGTTGGTTCTGCAACAATTGATCTCTCTTTTGCTTAGCAGCTATTTGCTGTAGCTGTTTAGCAGATGACATCTCTTTGGCACTCCCTGTAGTTTGTCCAGATAACAATGAATTAGATAGAGGCCTCTGAACGTTTTGGGCCTGGCTTGCTGGTTGCATTATTGACTGGTTGGGATTTTCAGACATGGATTGATTTGAAGGCTGAAACATTGTTTGAGAATTACTAACTGCTGGAGAAGCAGCAGTAACAGGGACAGAAGATGTACCAATAAATGTTGTGCCAGCAGAGGTAGATCTGACTTGTGGAGACCCTATCTGTTCCTGTTCAAAGTTTGCCGGGGAAAATTCAGTCTTTATAATGATATCTTGTGGTAAAGAAGTTTGTGCAGCTGAATTTGAAGGATCACCCTCCTTCTTTTCCTCAAAGTCTTCAGTAAATAGGTCTTTCATATCCTCATCAGGCATTGACCTGTTTAGCTCATTCATTAGCTCCTCCCACTCTTGGTCATTAAGGTTAAGATCAGACATCAAATTGTTTTGTGATATAGAACTTCCTGGTCCCGTAATCATACAAGGAAGATCATCTGGTTCTTGTTTGAGTTCTTTATTAATAATCATAGCAAATGAGTCATCAGCATCACTGCTTCCATTCAACTGAAGGCTAGAATGTGGCAGATCCTTTTTGCTCATTCCATCTAGGCTTATGGAATGTTTTCCATTAAGCTGTACATTTTCTCCACTGGAAGGTTTGCTATCATGCTGATGTAGAGGGGATACGGGAGGTATTCCACTGGAGGAGCCACTCAACCCACCAAGACCATCATCATGACACAATTTCTTGGGCACAGGAAATATGTCCCCAAAGCCATTTGGCTGGTCGCCATTTTGAGGTGAAACAGAATTATCAAGTTTCCTTTTTACAGTTTCATGAAGCTGCTGAAAGAAAAATAAAGTTAAATTATTTTATTGCTTCAAAGTGTGAATAACCTAGTTTTTTAGGCTAGCAATCTTCACAGAAATACAATGGATTAACACTTCTTTTAAGCAGTTGTTTAACTTACATGATTAAAAATTAGGCACATTCTGCAGTAAGAGAAATGAAATATGTTTGCACTATGTAAAAATATATATTTCAAAATAAAATATTATTTTGGCAATATTGACCAACTCTTTCACTAGACTTTATCTCCAGGGCTACTACTAAATTTCCTTGTAGCCTAGGTACTCAATGAAAAATCTGAGGTCATCCAAATTATAGTAATGCTGAAATGGCTTTGAACTGATCAGATGTGGAATGGGAGATGACTGAAAACATCCTATAAAAGGGAAAAATAAATATTGATAAATACCAGTAGTTTAAAAACATATAAGCAAATATTTTGTACTTTTAAAGACTTTATGCTAAATGAGGCAACATGATTGCATATGATTCTTCCACAAAACACTTTTGTGATGAACAATTAAACAATTACACTCACAACATGGTCTTGGAGTCAATTAGTTCTAAGATTCTTATTCAGGCTTTAAGGACAGAAGAGAATGTACTATAAGCTTGGTTCACATATGACAGAACTAACATGGAGTTCTCTATTGAGAAAGCAAACTGGATGCAATACAAATTCAGCTGTAAACATCTACTTTCTGGGGATAATCCAAACTAAGGGGCAAACTTCAACAATCAAATTAATTTGTGGAAATTATGCTTTCATAATTAAAAAATAAAAAAACTTCCCTCCAAACCCCAGCTTCTAAAAGAAAATCAACATAATATTTTTAATTTTTTCTTAAAAAAATAAATAATAAAAAAATAAATAATATAAAAAAATAATTAAAGAATTCTTTAAAAACATGTTTATTTTTATTTCTTTATATTTACAGTTAGCAGCGGAGTTGCTTTTCTAGAAATAACAAATATCTTGGCACAAACAGCATCTGTCTCATAAGTCAAGGCTTAATGTACCTGATGCTTCAAAACCTCTATCTTCTTTTTAGTACAACTCTACCAGATATAAATTTTATAGATGTTCATTTGAGATGTTCCTAAATCGAGCATGGGTAATTAAAATAGATAATTGCACTGGAAATGAAATATGAAACTACTATAGTAAAAGTCATTTCAGTCCTGTTGCCAGATAACATCATATATATTTTAATCAAAGAAGCCATCTTAATATTCTTTCCTTTTACATCTAACAATCTCGATCTTTAGTTCCTTCAAATAACGTCCTAGAACAGTGGTTCTCAACCTGTGGGTCGGGACCCCATTTGGGGTCGAACGACCATTTCACGGGGGTCGCCAAATAACTCAGTCCGCCATTTTTCCCCCCCTTTTCCTTAGCTGTGCTACTACCTTTTATTCTATTGGCTTTTGAAAGCCAATAGAAGAGACTCTCTTGAATAGAGTCTAATTCTATTGGCTTTCAAAAGCCAATAGGAATTGTCCAGGCTGTCTCTGCCCTACTGATCCCGCCAAAAGCCCCAGTCTGCAAACGGTGCTGCACCAGTTGAGTAGTCCTCGACTTACAACCGGTTGGAAGGTCGTGGCATTAAAAAGGTTAAGAACCACTGTCCTAGAACAATGTTTCTCAACCTTGACAATGTTAAGGCATGTGGACTTCAACTCCCAGAATTCCACAGCCAGCTGGCTGTGGAATTCTGGGAGCTGAAGTCCACATGCCTTAAAATTGTCAAGGTGGAGAAACACTGTCCTAGAACTTGATTTCCTCCCCCCCCCCATCATAACATTTTTCAAATCCTTAAACAAGCCTCTTTTGTAAATCCAATATAGGAAAATTTAATCCAAGCTATCTCTTGGTTTATTTGTATACCCCTTTTAACTATGAAGATATTCAGCCAGTTTCTTTTGTATCTCCTGTATGTAGCATATTTTTCATGTCATTGTTGTGGCCTGTCATTTTAAAATACACTTTCAAGTAGGTTTCAATCTTGTTAGGTAAAACTTGATCTTCTTCCATGATGTCTTTTGAACACAGTTTTATCTACAGAGGCAGACACTCTTAAAATTAACTTCTAGGTGCATTGTTCAAAAATATGTCAAATGTTAAAATATATTCCTTCATTGTGTATTTATAAGTTGAATTTAAGTGTTCTTTTTTTAATTGTAATCTTTAGTTCCCTCTAGTGTCCAGTTTTTAAAATCTTATGCCATTTTTAAAAAATTCAAAAGAGAAGCATTTTCCTACAGGAAATATTCTTATAATTATTTACAAAGTCTTATTTCAAATTTATCTGGACCCAACTCTTTTGCTGTTTATTCCAAATTTATGTTTAAGTCCTTAAACTTAAAAAAAACCCACAACATTTTTCCCGGTAAGGACTGTAGGAAACTCAACCTATGCTATAAAACTCATCAAACTCATCAACTGCTATAAAACATATTGATTCAAAGCAATTTCCAAAAATGATCAGAAAAGAGGTATGTGAACCTATTGGCCTTTTGAAAGTACTGACCCCCATTTGAGCAAGATGATTGCTCCCTCATCAACCAGCGCATTAAATTTACTGCAGATTTTTGTTCTGCAGTCTCTTCATGAGGAGCAATTGTCTGCAGCACTTGTGGGCAATCTCAAGTCCTCTCCTTATCCAGGGAGGAATTATGAAGAGCCGGAGGTTTTCCAAAAGAGGTTTGTCCAGAATGGTATAAGGCCAGGGGTAGGCAACCTTGGCTTTTATGACTCGTGGACTTCAACTCCCAGAATTCCTGAGCCAGCATGACTGGCTCAGGAATTCTGGGAGTTGAAGTGCACGAGTCATAAAAGAGCCAAAGTTGCCTACCCCTGGTATAGGCCTTCTGCCTGAGGAGGAGATTGGACTAGAAATCCCTTCCAACTCTGTTGTTCTATTTTTTATATACCACTCATTTTTGTATTCAATCCACATTTCTTCCTCACCCATTCATCTTTGATCTTATCTGTTTCACCATACATACTTCTGAGATAATCTACCCCCATAGATTCAACTCACTTTTATGTTTTACTTGATGTACTCAACTCTCATTTCCATGTACCAAAGTGGGCAGAAATATACACTTTTTTTCACCAAACGTTCTTCTAAAGTTTCTGGGACCATTTCCAAGTTATCTGCATGACTGGTGTTATTACAACACGGATTGTGCTTTAAAAGAACTGGTAATAATCCGGCCAAATCATACTGAGCCTCAATCAGAATGGAAAGCTAGATCTTGAGCCTCACTGAAGATAAAAATCATAATAATAACCTCAAGTAAATACTTGTATATTATGTCAGAAAGTGAAATAACTGTCTTAACACCTATTAAACTATTCAATAAAAGATCAGGAAGAACATTATTGGACAAGGTTTATGACACATTGTTTATATAGAGCATGGGAAATAAACAGAATGAGTCTGAACTCTTAATAAATAAATATTAAGTTTATTAAAATTCTACAAGTATAATTTTAAAAATATAAGAGTGGCCTGGTTATAGGAAAGGTAATTTCCATGACCGGAATACTGCAATTCAAGCATATGATTTGCTCAAAGGGAAAGTTTAAAGGCAGAACTTGCAGTGCATGTTAAAGAACTGCATATATGCACAGTAACAAATTCAAATGAATGGAATCAGTAATATTGTAGAGCAGGGCTCCCCAACCGCTGGTCTATGGACTGGCACAGGTCCGCGGCATGCCAGCAGCCAGGCCATGCAAACAAGCAAAGTCCCATCTGCGTGACACAGGCAGCATACAAAACCACACACCCTCCAGTTCACAGAAAAACCTTTCTCCATGGAACCGGTCCTTGATACCTAAAAGGTTGGGGGCCACTGTTGTAGAGTATATTTGAATTAAAATCAATGGAAAAAAGAGTAAAACCAAAACTGTTTTACTTTACTATACAAGTAGTCCTTGGGATCCGACTATAATGGAGAATGTCCATTAAGATCACATATCACAACAGTTGTTAGGTGAAACGTATTGCCTACAACCCCCCCCCCATCCCGGCTCTCCCCAGTGGAATATAAAATGAGCCTACAGGTCCTTAAGGGGAATATGTGGTGCCTCCCAAATGCTGCAAGCTTCCCGTGCTTTGGGATGGGAGGAGAGAGGCAGGAGGGTGCTGCAGTGACCCTGTGGAGGGGTCATAATGGGAAACAGGCCTGCTGCACCTGTCATAATTTTGAAATGGGATCATAAGTAGCTTGTGGGGAGGTCGGTCATAATTTTGAAGGTTTGTTAAACAGCCTGTACTGTTATCTGCTCAAAGGAAAAAAAATAGGATATTTGAATACGAAAATGCAATTCTTCAATAAGTGATAATGCCAAAAGTCACTCAGACATCTTTTGGGAGACAAACTTGCCAAGCACAGAGCTTCTAGGAAATTCCTAACTTGTCTTTTTGACAACTTTTTCCTTCAGAAAATGAACCACACATGGATTTGCACAAAACACAAATCAGCTGCTCTTGCTATTAACCAATATGAAAGACGTAGTTGAGAAAATTAAAGCACAGGGACAAAAACTGGGAGAAATGATTATGCAATGTTAAATGTCAAGATTTTCAAGGCAGTCATTGATGTATCCCCTGAACTTCAAGAACTGGATTTAAATAGAATGGTGATGAGGATTCTTTAGCAAAAGAAGCTACTGACTAAGGAAAATCATGGAGCATATCACTTCTGCAATTCATTCTAACTAGCTTGTCACCAGTGACCATAGGAGGCACCTGTATTTTCTTTTGTGTAATGAAGATAGAATAATGGCTGTGTTGTTTTTGCTCTCCCCTCATACTGTATTCCTTGAAAGTCCAAAGTCCATGGACTCACCTCGCAGTGGCGACACCAACAGCCCTACCCAGCTAGCCCACTTCTTCTGTGTGAAGGAAATGCCTCTGCGACTGAGAATGGACCTTCAGATTGACGCCCCCCCCTGGCCTGCATTTTGCCATCAGAGGCCTTC